GTCTCCAAAATGATGTGTTTCATATGGTTTGGGCTCCCAGGAAGTAGGAAATGCTGTGTTTTCATATGTGTTGGGTCCCATACCTCAAAAACGATTGGGGTAGTATAATTTCAGCAATGTTCAATGATTTCTTGTTTTTTTTGGGGGGGGGGGCCGGGGTCACTACCAGCTGGGCTTATCACAAGAGGAACTAATGTGTAATTCGCCACAAAAAGATCCCTTTTGCAATCAAACGAATCAATTGGCAATCCGCCACACAGGGAATCAATTTGTAGTTCACCACAAAAGAAATGAACATGTAATTCGCCACAAAAGTATTCCTTTTTGTAATCCGCCACAAAAGAAATCAAGTTGTAATCCGCCACAAAGGGGATCAATGTGTAATCCATTACAAAAGGGATCAATTTGTAATCCGCCACAACAGGAATCAATGTGCAAGCCGCCGCAAAAGGAATCAATTTGTAATCCGCCACAAAAGAAATCAATTTGAAATCCGCAAAAAACAATTTGAAATCCGCCACAAAAAAGAATCAATGTGTAATCCGCCACAAAAGAAATCCATTTGCAATTCGCCACCAAAAAATCAATATGTAATCCGCCACTAAAGGAATAAATGTGTAATCCGCCACAAAAGAAATCCATTTAAAATCCGCCACAGAAGGAATCAACTTGAAATCAGCCCAAACAAAATTGATTCGTAATTCGCCATAAAAGAAATCAATTGGTAATCCAACACAGAAGGAATCAATCTATACTTGGCCACAAAAAGAATCAATTGGTAATCCGCCACAAGAGGAAACCTTATGTAGGGAGGGGATGTAAATTGTGGGTCAATCGCTACTAGGATTCTATGAAAGGTGGATCCATCTCTCATCGGATTATATTAGACGTGGATCCATCTGTAATGGGATTCTCTTAAAGGTGGATCCATCGCTGATGCGACTCCACTAGAGGTGGATCCATTTCACATAAGATTTCATTACAAGTGGATCCATCTCCAATCGGATTCCATTGGAGGTGGACCCATCCCCAAAAGGACCCTATTAGAGGTGGATCCATATGCAATCGGGTTCCATTTGAGGAAGATCCATCTCTAATCGGATTCTATTAGAGGTGGACCCATCTCTAAGAATTGTGGATCCATCTGTAGTAGGATTTAATTAGAGGTGGATCCATGTGTAGCAGGATTCTATTAGAGGTGGACCCATCTCTGTTAGGATTCAATTTGAAGTGGATCCATTTGTAGTAAGCTTTCATTTGAGGTGGGCCCATCTCTCATAGGATTCCATTAGTTGTGGATCCAGCTGTAGTCGGATTCCATTAGAGATGGATCCATCTGTAACAGAATTCTATTAGATGTGGATCCATCAAAAATGGGATTCTATTAGGGGTGGACCCATCTGTATTAGGATTCTGTTAGAAGTGGATCCATCTATGGTAGGATTGAATTGGGGGTGGACGCGTTTGTAATACGATCCTCTTAGAAGTGGAGCCATCTGAAATAGTATTCTATTAGAGGTGGACCTATGTCTTGTAGGACTCCATCAGAGGTAGGTGGACCCATCCCTAATAGGATTCTATCATAGGTGGACCCATATGTAATAGGATTATATTAGAGGTGGGTCCATCTGTCATAGGATTCTGTTAGAGATGGATCGATCCGCACTATGATTCTATCAGAAGTGGATTCATGTCTAATCGGATTCTATCAGAGGTGGATCCATATTTAATAGGATTCCATCCGACGTGGATCCATTTGTAATAAGATTTTGTTAGAGGTGGACCAATCTCTAATACCATGCCATTGGGGATGGAACCATCTCTAATGGGATTCTGTTAGAGGTGGATCCATATGTAATTGGGGCCCATTAGAGGGGCATCCATGTCTAATAGGATTATATCAGAGGTGAATCCATCGCTAATAGGATTCTACTAGAGGTGAACCCATATGTAATGAGGTTCTATCAGACGTAGGTTCAACTGTAAAGGGATTCTATTAGAGGTGGATCCATCCGTACCAGGATCCCATTCGAGGTGGATCCATCCCTGATGTGATGCCATTAGTTGCGGACCCATCTCTAATGGGATGCTATTAGAGGTGTATCCATATGTCATAAGATGATATTAGAGTTGGCTCCATTTGTAGTGGGATTTATTCGGGGGGGGATCCATTCCTAATCGGATTATATGGAAGGTGGGTCCATATGTAGTAGGATTCTCTTCGAAGTGGATCCATATGTAGTGTGATTATATGAGAGGTGGATCCATATGTAATGCGATTCTATTCGAGGTCGACCCATGCGTTTGAATATTTTATCAGAAGTGGATGCGTTTGTAAAGAGATTCCACTCGAGGTGGGCCCATCTCTAATAGGATTCCAATAGAGGCGGATCCATTTCTAATCGGATTCCATTAGAGGTGGATCCGTAATTAATAAGGTTCTATTAGAGGTGGATCCAGATGTCATGGGATTCTATTAGAGGTGGATCCATCTGTCATCGGATTCTATTAGAGCTCGATCCATATGTAAATCTGTGCAAAACGACATGTTCCAGGGGACTGAAACAAAACCTCCACCCTCCCCCCGTGCGCGCCGCCCATTCGAGGAGGCGTTCTTTTTCCTTGACACTATCGGCGCGCGGAGCGCGGCCCCGCGCGGCAGCCCCGGCCCCGCGGGCCCCAAGGGGGCCACGCCGCGTTCGCAGGGCGACCCGGCTCGGGTCGGACGAAAGGGGGGGATAGCAAAGGGGGGGTTTTAGAATCAGCTCACGTAGCTAATTTTCCCGGCGCCTCCCGGCGCTGGAGGCGGCTGGGTATCGAGGAACGGGCCCCTCGGTGAGGCCGAAACCAGCTGCATGCAGCAAATTTTGTACCCCCCCTTTCCCAATCCCCCCCTTTCGTCCGGCCCGACAGGCTCTGGCGGGGTGGCCGCCGGCGAGGCCAGGCTCCGTGCGCGCCCCGCCCCCGTCCGCACATAGGGGAACGAAAAGTGGCATAAACATCAAAACTCGGAGGTCCGCGCGGACTTCTCGGATCGGCGCTGGGGCCCCCCCGCGGCGCCTCCGGCGCCGCCCCTGGCGCGCTCCGCGCGGCGGGGAGGAGGGGTCCAGCGCCGATCCGAGAAATCCGCGCGGACCTCCAAATCTTTATGTTTATGTAATTTTGTGTTCCCCTGGCACAGGCCGTTCGCTGGACGGCCGCGTCTGCCGGGGCGGACGAACAGGCAGGGCAGCAAAGGGCAAGCAAGAGAATGGGCTCCCGTGGCTGGCTTTACTGGCGCCTCCCGGCGTCGGGATGCGCCCATGCAGCGAGGAATGAACGAACGACCACCGCTGCGGACACCGTCCAGGCGGGAGGGAAAGGGAGGGACAGGGAGGTAGGGAAGGGATGGAGGGAGGGAGGGGAAAGGTCCTTGACGTCGATGTCGGCGTGATGCTCGTTCACGCGTTCCGGCGGCGGGGGCGGAAACCAGCTGCATGCAGCCGATTTCATACCCTCCCCCTTTCCTGTCCTGCCCTGTTGTCCGGCCCCAGGTCTGCAGGCAACACTGACACGGGGAGGCCCTCGCTGCACCAGCCGATCCTCCCCCCCCCTCGGCGGCGCGCGCAAGGGGATGGCGCGAATGGGAGGCGGCCTCCGCAGAAACCAGGGGGGCTTCTGCGCAGGCAGGGAGGGGGGCTCTTAGAAGCCCTCCCAGGTTCGAGGGAGGGAGGCTTCTTTCAAGCCTCGGTGCCCTTCTAGGAAGGGCCCCCGCCTGCTAAGAATCACCTCGTCTTCTCGAAAAGCCCCCCCCTCGCGCCACCCCCTTGTGCGCGCCACCAATTCCCCACCTCCCGGCACAAACGTGACAACTACAGTCAAGACGCTGAAATAAGGAACAATTTGGGTTCGGAAGGGGCTCGACGTTCCTTAGGTTCCGCCAGTGCCGTTCCTCTTGCCCTCCTGGGGCACGGAGGCGCTTACGGGGCCAAGAAGGGGCTTCATTCCTTATTCAGCATTCCTTCTTCCAGCGGCCCGACTCTGTCGGAGGTCCCGCCGTATTCCTTGGGCCATCTGGCGCTGTACCCCCCTGCGCCTTCATCGCAGGCCGCCCCCGCCCCCCCGGCCCCTCCCTCCGCGCCGCCCCCGTGCGCGCGTGCCTGCCGGGGGTGGTGGTCTCTGCATGGCAGGCGGCAGAGAACATTCAGTCAACATCTATCTGATGAAAGACGCGTGGCAAGGACACAAGACCCTTGGAAGCCGAAGCTGGGATATCCTGGGCGGCAGGCGGCCGCAACCCCAAGGAGGAGGAGAGGAGGAGGAGGAGGAGGGCGAGGTGGAGGAGGAAGATGAGGAGGAGGAGGAGGAGGAGGACGAGGAGGGGCGCCGAGGCAGAGGCGGGCAGGGACCAAAGGGCACCCCAAGGAAAGGCGCGCGCCCTCACTACGGCTTCTGACTGTGCCAGATCGCTGGGCGCAGCAAGGGCCTCCCCCCATAAACGCCCGGCGTCGCTGCGTGCGCAGATGGCGCATGTGCGCCGCCGGGCGCCATTGGGAGCAACGGGCCCGCCCCCGCGCACGTGGCCTCCGCGCTCCGGGCGGTCCCAAAGGGCTGCCGAGAGGGGTTGCCACCTCCTCGGAGAATCCCACGAGGCCGCCGGGCCCCAGAGCTCCCCCCCAGAAGGCCCCGAGATCGTCCCAGAATCCTCCTCGGTGCTCGATCTTCGAGCCTCGATTCTCGTGATGACCTGGCCACGCGACTCCCATGGGCACTGCCCGAATGCTAGCACGAGGGAGGAAGCCCTGGCGGCAACGGGCTCTCTGTGCCCCAGGGGCCTTCCTCGGGACCGAGCCTCCATCCCGGGTCACTTCCTGACGCTCCCGGGGCCCGGGGATGCGCGCGTTGGGACCTCTCCGAACGGCAGCAGCAACCCCTCTGGGCCCCTTCCCCTCACGCCGGCCGTGGCCGCGCGGGGAGGACAACCAGGGAGGGCCCGGAAGGCCGAGGGACGGGGGGGCGCCTCAGTCGGAGTCGCTGTCGTTGCTGGAGCTGGAGCTGTCGCTGCCCATGACGTCGCTGTCGCTGCCGCTGCCGGCCTTGTCCGCAGCGGCCCGGGCCTTCGGCTTGGCCTTCGCCTTGCCTCGGCCCGCCGCTCGGCCCTTCGGCTTTGCCGCCTTCCGCTTGGGCTTGGGCTTGGGCTTCGGCTTCTTGGCGGTGCCGGAGGCCTTCTCGAACTTCTTGACGGAGGGGTGGCTCCTGTATTCGGCCATGGCCTTCTCGAACTGCTCCTTCTGCTCCGCGTGCTTGTCCTCGTAGACCTTCTTCTCCTCCGGGGGGAGGTCCTTCCACAGCTCGGACACTTTCTGAGCCATCTCCTTGAACCCGAGGCCAGTAAGCGTGGGCCTCTTCGCGTCTGTGAAAATGAAGTAGGCCCCCCGTGGTGCCGTCGGCTTCTTGGGCGCGTCGGCGCCACCAATGAACTTTTTTCTTGCATTCTCGACCCTCTGCTTTCTGTCCGCGACCGCCTTGAGGCGCTTGTACTTCTTTCCCTCGGCGGTCTTGTTGAATTCCACCATGTCCTTATCATACTTCGCGAACTGCTCTTTCGACTTGTCGTTATAAACTTTTTGGCCATCTGCACCTAGATTGACCCACCCGCTGGCCAACTCACTCTTGCTGACGCCAGTTCCGCTTGCACGCTTCTCCTCCATGTAGATGAAGTAGCCTGTCATTGGCTTCTTGGGCATGCCCTCGGGCTTTGGGGGCATCTCCACGGCTTTCGCCTTGGGCTTTGCGCCTTTGCCCTTGCCCTTGCTGGCTGCCCCTTTGCTGCCGTTGAGCCTGCTGACGATCGAGACGTACTTCTTATAGTCGGGGGTCGCCTTCCACTCCGCCATGCTCTTCTCGTACTCCTCCTGGCCAGCGGCCGCCTTGTCGACCCACTCCTGCTTGTCCTCGCTGCTCAGCCCAAGCCACTTCTGGCTGATCTTCGGTAGCATGGCGAAGCCCTTCACGCTGGGATCCTCCTGCTGGATCAAGGCCTTTCCAACCTCGTTCGCCCACAACTGCATCGCGTTGACCGCTTTCTTGGGCTCGTTTTTCAAGTACCTTTCCTTTGCCGAATTCAGCTTGTACCGCTTCTCGACCATGGCCACCTGTTGGATGGCATCCGAGGGCGGGGCACGCCATGAGTACCCGTGTTGGAACAACGCGTCGGGGGGATCAAACCAAGTCAACCGCAATGCCCGCCGCTTATTAAGGTAAGCGTGTGTTTGTTTGCCGTCGTTGACTGCACAAACATGTCCCGGAGTGGAGTGACTGCAACATTGGGGTCGGACTTACAATGCCCCTAGCAGGACCCAACATGGCCCTTGGACCTCGAAAGGCCCCAATATCGCGCCAGGGCGCCCCCGAAGGCCCCACTGCGGCCCGGGCAAATCCGAAAAGACACCAACCAGTATTCAAAAATGCCCCAACATAAACCCTGAGCAACCCAATATGCCCCCAACTGAACCACAAGATGGCCCAATCGCCTAAACGCGCGCAACTGAACTCGCGAGACCGAGAAAAATGCCCCACAGGGCCCCAATACATGATCCAAAGCTCCCCCTTCCGTGCTAATGGGGCCGCAGCCACCGCCCCCGCTGGATGGGTGCACCCGTGAGCCTCGCGAGGGCCTCGCGAATGGGATCCCCCCCAGTGGTCGTGGTCCTGTGGGCGTGGCAGGGTGGCGGGTGCTGGTGCCCCCCCCCTCCCCCTGTGGGTTTTGGGTGGTTCGTCGTCGTCATCGTCGTCGTCTTCCGTCTGCGCCTGGCCCCCCCCCCGCCCCATCCCATCCGGGGGGGTGCGCTGTGGAACCCCGGGGCCCATCCCATCTGTGGGGGGGGGGGGGCGTGAACCCTCGACCCGAGATCATACGCGACGCCAAGGGCCCCCCCCCCCTGGGCCTGCACAGAGCTCATAAGTACGGCACGCGACTCCCCAGGAGGTCGCCCAAAAGCCTCACTTGGAGCAGGAGGATAACGAAGACAATGCGAATGAAGAGGGGCAGAAACAAGACCGGGAACCACGGAGTGGGGAAGATAATGATGTGGGTGAAAAGGGGTACCACCATCATGGCAGGAGAGATGTTCAGATGGACTTCTATTGAGAACCCCAATGATAACGCAATGTTTCTGTGCTCCAGATGAGTTGCAATGTCGCTGCCTGGCATGCCACGATTAGATTTGCGTTTTGCTGGCAATTGGCAGGACAGCGGCATGACAGATGCCAAGGACCACGCTCCACGCTTTTTATATTCAATTGTTTTGTTCGATGTTGTTTCGTTCAATGTCTTTTTCCTTTTTATATTCGATGCACACAAAAATGACATCATTGCGGCAGAATGCCTCAAAACGCTTTGCATATTCACGATGGTGAACACAACGGGGGTCACGATAAGGGGGCCACCATGAGAAGATCTGGAAGAGGGGGATGCAATATAGGGCTAGGTGGTACGTAAGGATAGGGCTAGCCTCCAGCGGGGGCGCCGCTAATTGAGCCCTCCCCCTTTGATCAATCTCCTCTGGGATGGCCCCCGAGGCCCTCGGGAGGTTCCCAAGAGGCCCCACCAGGCGCTCAGGAGGCCACAAGATGCCCTCCAAAAGCGCCCAAGATGCCCCTAAGGGACACCCAAGATGCCCCCAAGAGGCCTCAAGAGCCATCCCAGAGGCACCCCAGACGCCCCGAGAGGAGGACAAAAGTATTGATTTCGCTAAGACCCTAACTTCGGAGTCCCCCTTCTTTGATCGATCTCCTCCTAGATGGCCCCCGAGGCTCACAAGGGTGCCCCAAGACAGCCCAACGAGGTGACCCCAAAAATGCCCCCCAAGGGGCCTCCAAGATGCCCCCTGGAGGCCCCCTTGAGCCTCCCAGAGGCCTCGAGTCCACTACCTCGGCACGGTGTAGGGCTGGGCCGGATGCCACTAGATAGCAGAACGCCCTGGAGCCCCTCGGACACGTCGAGGACACATGGTTGTGGCAAAAACCCAAGCTACCTGCTTGTTGTACTTCTTGCCGGCTTCAGTCTTGCCCCACGCGGCGAGGTCCGCAACGTATTTGTCTTGCATTTCCTTTGCCTCCTGGTTTCTTCTGGCCTTCTCTTCCTGTGGAAGGTCATTGAACATCTTCAAGGCCTCTGCCAGTCCCTTACCAGCTTGCTCCGATCTGAAAATCTGCAGAGCATTGCGAGGCTTCTTGGGCATATCCTCTGGTACTGGCACAGTTGAAGCCCCCTTGCTTTTTGCCTTCGCCTTCACCATCTTCGAGTACTTCTGCCAATGCTCGCTTTCCTTAAACTCCTTCAGCGATTGCCGATAGGCATTCTCCTGCTCCTGCCTTTCTTTCTCGATCTTATCCCTCTCCTCCTCGGGCAGCGCCCTGAACTTCTCCATCACCTTGACAGTCAGATCGGCCCCCTTCAATCCAGGAAACTCCGCCTTCGCAGCTTTCATCCACTTTGCCTTTGGGTCCACTGGCTTCTTCGGCATACCCCCTAAAAACTTGAACTTGGCTAAAACAACGCGCTTCCGTCGCACGGTAAGGCTGTAGTCTTTGAAATCCGCCCACCTTGCCTTCGGAACGTTGGGGCGTGTGAGCATGTCGTCTGCCAACCGCCTGGTAGGGCTTCTGTCTAATTCTCAAGGGCGGTCCTCTACCGTGACCGCGGGGGTCTCCAGGAATCCCACCAGCCGTTTCGGGCGTGGGTGGTTTAGGGCTGTTCTTTTTCCACCCCCTTGAAGGGCTTGTATTTCTTCCGCATTCACAAACACCCCTCCCCCACCTAACTGGCGACAAACCAGGGACAATGCCAACGAACCATAACCGTCCTGATCAAAAGCAATTATCTTGCTTCGAGCGATCCCCGACGAAACCTTCGGCGTTTGTTCCCACCGGCGCGCGCCTACTGGAAAGATGTGCGAAGGGCCCGGCGGTCTCGGCCAGCGCGGCGGCCTGGCCAGGTCGCAACTTGATATCTTCCGAAAGTCCAACAACCCCGGGGCCCCTGACGAAAGAAACCGAAACGAGTCTATGGAGCGACGCATGTTGAGTATATGACATTGTGTTATGTTAGGCCCTATTGTGGAAGGCGTGCCGTCGCGACGCCTTTCACGATTGGTATGTCTTCTGATTTGTCGTTGCTGCTAATGCTTGTTTCCGTGGCCAGCGTGGGCTTGGCGCGCATGTCGCGTATGATAGGCCGTCAGTGCTCGGCTTCTGCTGAATTCTACTCTATCACGATGTGTTCGGCTCTGTTCTGTTCCATGCGCATATTTTTGTTTCTATTCTGCTTGCGATAGAACGGCGTAACGCCGTGACGCCTGTCGCTTTTGATATGTCTTGTAATCGGTCGTTGCCGCGCCTGTCTTTTTCCTGTGGCTAGGCGCGGATGCTGCATTTGAAAATGCGCCCTGAAATCTGTCGCTGCTGTAGTTAACCGTGTTAACGAATGTAATGCCCGATCATATTCGACTCAACGATGCTACAATATGATATGTTATGTTGTCGACGGAACGGCGTGACGCCGTGATGCCTTTCACGTTAGATACGTTGTCCTATCGGTCTTTGCTACCCCTGTTTGTACCAGTGGCCAGGCTGACCTCGGCGCGAACGTCGAGTTTGATTATGTGATGCTAGAGAAGGTACGGCCTATTGTGGTACGCGAATCCCCTTCAATTGTGTGCTTGTCTTCTGTTAAACAAAACCCTGATATGCTCAACTCTGTCGAATGATTCTTCGACATCTGCAATGCTCTACTATACATTGTCATGACTTAGTATGCCACCTTATGTTATGTAATAATATGTGTGTGATGCTGTTTGCGTTACGTCGTGCTATGCTCAATATGACATGCTATGTTCTGTTACGACAAATCATTTCACTGCAATATGATACATCCTATGATGATGCAACATAATCGTTGCAACCGTTGCGTTGTTATGTGAGATATGCTCGATGTCGCGTTATGCCATGCTCTGTTCCGTCATGAATGACGTATTATGATATGCTCTCTTGTACTGTGTTGGGATATGTTCTTTTATAGCATGTGATACCACGCGCTGCCAAAGTATGGCGTGTCTTGTTATTGATTGTTATAATATGGGATGGTGTGGTCTGTGAAACTCTGCTCTGCCATGATGTGTTATGGTATGATCCGCTCTGCTGTGTTAGCTTTTGCTACATGTTCAATACTATGCTGTGCTATGTTCTGGTCAACTATGCTCTGTCATGATGTACCGTGTCATGCTATGTTCGCTATGGCCAGCTCCGTCACAACATGCGTTCCTATGATGTGTTGTGTAATGCTATGTTCAGACATGTTATACTATGCTATGGTGTGGTGTGCTGCTATGCTATGCTACTTTCTGATGTGTAATAACATGTCATGCCGCGCTCTGGCATTGAATGCGTTGTCATGGTATGCTAGGTACTTGCATGGTGTGTTATGAGGTGTTACGTCATGGTGTGATATGATATGTGATGCCATAGCATGGTGTGAGGTGTTGCGTTTTTGTTATGTGATGCATGATCCGATATGGCATGATGCGTTATGTTATGCTGTGCGCTGTAGGGTCCGCTCTGTCGTAGCATGCGTTGCTATGTTACACGATTACACTAGTAAGCTCTGTTACGGGCTACTGCGTTATGCTATGCTCTGTTATGGCATGCTATGTTCTGTTATGCTCTGCTCTATCATGTCATGCTGTGCTCAATTCTGTCAGGCTCTGTCGTGTTCGTCGTCAGCGCGAGGCGGGCGTTTCTGGAGATACTCGGTGGACATGGAGATCTGGCGGCCGCGGTATGCAGAAGAATGGCTGGATCGGCGCGAGGCGGAAGTGTCGGGGGATTCTCGGCGGACCTGGGGATCTGGCGGCCGCAATATGCAGGGTGGTCGGGCTGGGAGGTCCGTTCGGAAAAATTAACGACCCCAGCTTGTTCCCAGCCTGTCACACAGGAATTTAGCCTGACGAAAGACTCAATCATATGTGGCTGTAAGCACCGCGAGTGAAATGAGACGGAGGAGGGGGGCCCGGCGGGGTCGAGAGGTCCAGGGGCCTTGCGCCATGGAGAATTCCAGGGGCCTCGCGCAAACGTCTCTTCCTCGAAATGAGTCGCGGGGACGCATACAAACCCTGCCACTGAGGCCTTGGGTGGATCTCCTTATTCGGCCACGAACCGTGTGAGGGGTGCGCCAAAATGGATCGCAGGGACGCATGTCAACCCTGCCAGTGAGGCCTTGCGTGGAACCCCCGATGGGGCCACAAGCCGTGCGGAATGAGTCGCGGGGACGCATGTGAATGAACCCTGCCACTGGGGCCTTCGGTGGAGCTCCCTATGGTGCCACGAGCCGTGTGAGGGGTGTGCCGGCATGAGTTGCGGGGACGCACGTAAACCCTGCCACTGGGGCCTTCGGTGCAGCTCCGTATGGTGCCACGAACGGTGTGAAGGGTGTGCCAAAATGAGTCGCGGGGACGCATGTAAACCCTGCACCTGGGGCCTTCGGTGCAGCTCCCTATGGTGCCACGAACGGTGTGAAGGGTCTGCCGAAATGAGTCGCGGGGAAGCACGTAAACCCTGCCACCGGGGCCTTCGGTGCAGCTCCCTATGGTGCCACGAACGGTGTGACGGGTGTGCCGAATTCAGTCGCGGGGACGCATGTGAATGAACCCTGCCACTGGGGCCTTCGGTGGAGCTCCCTATGGTGCCACGAGCCGTGTGAGGGGTGTGCCAACATGAGTCGCGGGGTTGCACGTAAACCTTGCCACTGGGGCCTTCGGTTGACTTGCCTATGGCGCTACGAACCGTGTGTGGGGTGCGCCGAAATGGGTCGCGGGAACGCATGTAAACCCTGCCACTGGGGCCTTCGGTGCAGCTCCGTATGGAGCCACGGACCCTGTGAAGGGTGTGCCGAAATGGAGGCGGCGGTGCCATGCGAACACTGGCGCTGGGGCATTCGGTAGAGCCTTTTCATGGGGCCACGAAGCGTGTTTGGGTGTGCCGAAATCGATGGCACGGACGCGCGGGATGATGATGGTGATGGTGATGTTGGCGATGGTGATGATGATGATGATGATGATGATGATGATGATGATGATGATGATGATGATGATGATGATGATGATGATGATGATGATGATGACAATGGAGGATGGAGGGGGAGGGGGAGGAGGCGGAGGAGGAGGAGGAGGAGGAGGACAGGAGAAAAAGGAACACGAGGAGGAGGGGGGAGGGGAAGGAGGCGGGAGGAAAAGAACGCGGGGCGTCGCCTTGTCAAAACGAGGACCCAACACCAGAGGATGGTTGGGACAAATATTTACTCTGACGGTACGGCCCCGCATGATAATCTCCTGGGGCAACATGGGCGTTGAAATCCATGAGTAACGGTGGTGATGATGCGGATACGGCAAAATGGCAGGATGCCAGCGCGCCAGTATGCCAGGACAGCAAGATGCCAGGATGCCGGGTGCCAGGGATGCCAGGCGGCTAAGAGGCCAGGAAGCCTAGATGCCAGCATGGCAAGACCCCAAGATGCCAGGATACCTATGTAACCTGTGCGGCCTGTGGGAACTGTGGGATCTGCGGGGCCAATCGGACCAGTGGAACATTTGGGACCCGTATGACATGTGGGACCTGTGGAACATGCCGGACTTGTGCGACCTGTGGGACCATGTGCCACCTCCCAGGCCTGTGGTGCGCATGGGACCTGCTAGTCCTGCGGGGCCTGTACGGCCAGTGCGACCTATGGTACCTTTGGAACCTGTGAGGCCTGTGGGACCGGCACGACCTGCGCCTGCGAGCCTCTGTCAGGCCTGTGGGGCCTGTGCCACGATGCCAGGATGCCAGAGATGCAGCGATACCAAGAGTGCCAGGTATACCAGAGATGCCAGTGCTGCCACCAAGTTGCCAGGATGCTAAGATGCAAGGGTGCGACCGCAAATAAAATCCCACGGGTGTGGGTCAGCCATGAACATCCATCTATCCTTAACTAGCGTCCAACTTTAATTACGGTCGTCCTTGCATTCTTCGTCGCTAGATCTAGCGCCACGGCGCTGAATTGTAAGGCTAAGGTCGTCGTGGCGTCGCCATCGTGACGTCGTGCGAAGAAGACGGGCAGTGCGCTTCGTTGCCGCAGGAGGCGCTGTCTCTTCTTGGCGCGCGGCACGCCCGCTGTTTTGCTGTTGCCTCGGCGCGGCAGGTCGCGCCAGCCGCGCCATCGGCTGCGCGCGGGTGCGCGCGATAGCCGCGCGGGAAAAACCCGCTGCCGTGGAGCCGCGCCTCTTCGCCGCGTGCCCCACGCTGCCTCCGAAGTCCTCGCCCCTGTAGGTCCAGCACAGCGACGGCTGTCCGCCTCCGAAAGCCATCTCGGGGAGTAGGTGCGCCTTCGGCCTCGCGCGCCAAATCTTCGGCCGCGCCCGCTGGAAGGCAGCGAAAGGCGCCGCGAACCTGCTGGCGGAGTCGCGCAGCAAGTCGCGTCTGGAGATGCAGGCGCTGCTCATCGTGTGGTAGCAAGTGCGCAAGTCACGCATCGCGTTCAGTGCGGAGTCGTCCGCGGCGCTCCCAGGAACGCAGTGGCTCTCAACAGCTTCCCTGCAAAACGGGGCCAGATGCCTCGTGGTTGCCGCCTAGCCGCGGAACTTTGGGCTCGCCTCCTTGGCTTTCACAACGCGCTCGCTGAAGTCACGCAGTCTGTCGGGAATGCCGCTGGCATCGTAATGCGCCTGAATGAGCTCCCGCGACGCGTCGCTCTTCTCCGTTCGGCTTCGCCCGAGCATTTTGGAATCGCGGCGATGCGCCGCGGCAGCGCGCCCGCGAAATCCGCCCTGACTCCAATGTCCACAGCGTGCAACCATTCAATCTGGAGCGCGTCGACGGCGGTGCCAGACAGGTTCAGCGCAGGCGAGACATAGCCTCCGTTGCGCAGAATTGTGGCGATGACGTCCTGAAGCGAACGCCCGTGGTCTGGCCTCGCCCGCGGAGAAGTCGTCGACATTTGCGCCGTCATCTGGGGCGGCGGAGGGGGGGGCGGCAGAGAGGGGGTGTGCCGTCGCCGCCCGCTCCCTCCCTCCGCCCATTATGTTCTCCGTCCTCCTTTTCAGCATCCTCTGTTGTCGTGCTTCCCCTCCCTCTCTCTCTCTCTCTCTCTCTCTCTCTCTCTCTCTCTCTCTCTCTCGTTTTTTTTTTTGTTTTTTTTTTTTTGTTTTCTTTCTCTTTCTCTCTCTCTCTCTCTCTCTCTCTCTCCCCCTCCATCTCTTTCTCTTTTTCTGTTGTTTTGTTGTGTTTTGTTTCTTTTCTCTCTCTCTCTCTCTCTCCCTCTCTCTCTCTCTCTCTTTCTCTCTCTCTCTCTCTCTCTCTTCTCTTCTCTCTCTCTCTCTCTCTCCCTCTCTCCCTCTCTCTCTCTCTCTCTCTCTCTCTCTCTCTCCCTCTCTCTCCCTCTCTCTCTCTCTCTCTCTCTCTCTGCCTGCCCGTGTGCACGCGTGGCCCCGCGCCCACGGTGTCAGGGCGTGGGGGCGGGGGGTGCCCCGTCCCCGCGCGCCGCGCTGCGGCCAAGCGCCCAACTGGCGGTCTGCCAAGCCGCCTAGCCACGTGTCCGCACGTCGCCTTTCTTGTTGGGGCCTTCTTCGTCACGCGGTCTGACACGTGAGATCTTCACAGTCTGTCCGCCGCCCGTAGCTTCAGACGCAATGCGCCGGGGGAGGGGGTCTGTTGCCCGCCCTCGTATCTTAAGGCTGCACCGCCGCTAATAGTGTTTTGCGGGTTGTCGCACCGCAGTGCGCCTCGCGGACGGACCCTGGTCCGCCTACTTGTCCGGTCTCTCTCTCTCTCTCTCTCTCTCTCTCTCTCTCTCTCTCTCTCTCTCTCTCTCTCTCTCTCTCTCTCTCTCTCTCTCTCTCTCTCTCTCTCTCTCTCTCTCTCTCTCTCTCTCTCTCTCCTCTCTCTCCTCTCTCGATATCTATCTCTCTATATATGTATAGATATATATATATATATATGTTTCTAATGGGGTCAAAAGAGAACATCTGATGACTCCCCAGGGGGTCTGGGCGGGAGCCGGACAGGCGAGGGCCGGGCTCGTTTCAAGCAAACAGTCACACACTTCGTGCTCTTCGACCTCCCAGAACTCTATTCCCGGGCCACATTTTGAATGCCCGGAGCCAACTGTAAGTCACTTCGTGCTCTTCGACTTCCCAGAACTCCATTCCCGGGCTACAGTTTGGATGCCCGGAGCCAACTGTACGCCACTTCGTGCTCTTCGACTTCCCAGAACTCCATTCCCGGGCCACATCTTGAATGCCCGGAGCCAACTGTAGGCCACTTCGTGCTCTTGGACTTCCCAGAACTCCACTCCCGGGCCACATTTTGGATGCCCGGACCCAACTGTAGGCCACTTCGTGCTCTTGGACTTCCCAGAGCTCCACTCCCGGGCAACATTTTGGATGCCCGGACCCAACTGTAAGCCACTTCGTGCTCTTGGACTTCCCAGAACACCATTCCCGGGCCACATTTTGAATGCCCGGAGCCAACTGTAGGCCACTTCGTGCTCTTCCACTTCCCAGAACTCCACTCCCGGGCCACATTTTGAATGCCCGGAGCCAACTGTGCGCCACTTCGTGCTCTTCCACTTCCCAGACTTCCAAGACTCATCATCTTCATCATCACCATCGCCCCCGTAGCCTTCTTGGCTACAGCCCTGCTTTCGCAGATTTCCTTTCGGAGGAACTGCGCAGCGCCTACTGCGCACCTTAATGCCAGGACATGCTGATAGTTCTCGGTCTGGCGGCGGTGCCCCTGACCCTGCTGCATTGAACAGCGGTGCTCCTCAGCCTGCGGCAGGGAACAGCGCTGCTCCTCAGCGCGCTGCATTGAGCGGTCCTCTTACATGAATACCACAAGCAATGTTTCCGGCTATGCTTCTACACATCGCTGTTAGGTTGCTTTGCCAGGATAATATTTCTCTTTCTCTTTCTCTTTATCTTTCGATGTTTGAAATATGTGTTTTGTTGTTCTCTCTCTCTCTCTCTCTCTCTCTCTCTCTCTCTCTCTCTCTCTCTCTCTCTCTCTCTTTTTTTTCATCTCTCTCTCTGCGCCCCCCCCCCCCCCCCCCCCCCCCCCGCTCAGCGCGGCGTTTCGTGGCCCGTAGGGAGCTCCACCGAAGGGCCGCCATCCACGCCCCCCCCCACTCAGCACAGCGCTTCGCGGCCCCAGAGGGAGCTCCACCAGAGGCCGCCGCGCCACCGTCCACATGCGCCCCCCCCCCCGCACTCAGCGCAGCGCTTCGTGGCCCCATAGGGGGCCCCACCGAGGGGCCCCAGTGCCGCCGCCCACACGCGCCCCCCCCCACTCAGCACAACGGTTCGTGGCCCCATAGGAGCTCCACCGAAGGCCCCAGTGCCGCCGTCCACATGAGCTCCACCGAAGGCCCCAGTGCCACCGTTCACACATGCGCCCCCCCGCTCAGCACAGCGCTTCCTGGCCGCATAGGGTGCTCCACCGAGGGCCCCAGCGCTGCCGTCCAGATGCGCCCCCCCCACTCAGTGCAGCGTTTCGTAGCCCCGTAGGGAGCTCCACCGAAGGCCCCAATGCCACCGTCCACATGCGCCCCCCCCCACTCAGCACAGCGCTTCGTGGCCCCATAGGGAGCTCCACCGAAGGCCCCAGTGCCGCCGTCCACACGCGCCCTCCCAAATTCAGTACAGCGCTTCGTGGCCCCATAGGGAGCTCCACCGAAGGACCCAGCGCCATCGTCCACATGCGCCCCCCCCCCCCCCCCCACTCAGCACAGCGTTTCGTAGCCCCATAAAGGGGGCCCCACCGAAGGTCGCATTGCTACCGTCCACATGCGCCCCCCCCCACTCAGTGCAGCGTTTCGTGGCCACGTAGGGAACTCCACCGAAGCCCCTAGTGGGGCCGTCCGAGTGCGTCCTGAAACACCTAGTTTGGGATTTTCACAAACCCATTGTAGCGTTTCGTGGTCCCACAGGGAGCTCCACCGAAGGCCCCAATGCCACCGCCCGCATGCGACCCGCGCGCGCAATGTTGCATTTTGACCCACCCGGTGCAGCGTTTCGTGGCCCCACAGGGAGCTCCGCCGAAGGCACCAGTGGGACCGTCCGCAAGCGCCCCGAAACACCCATTGTGGCATTTCCACCCACCCAGTCCAAAATTCCCTGGCCCCGTAGGGAACTCCACCGAAGGCCACAGTTCCACCGTCCGCATGCGCAACGAAAGCCCAACGTAGCATTTTCCTACCCGATACAGCGTGTCGTGGCGAGCTCCACCGAAGCCCCCAGCGTGGGACCGTCCGCATGCGTCCCGGAAGCCCAATTTGGCATGTTCGCCCACCCAATGCAGCGCTTCGTGGCCTCATAGGGAGTTCCACCGAAGCCTCGAGTGGGACCGTCCGCATGCGTCCCGGAAGCGCAATTTCGCATTTTCACGAACCCAGTACAACGTTTCGTGGCCGCATAGGGAGCTCCACCGAAGCACCGCACCCAGTGGGGCCGTCCGCATGCGCCCTGGACGCCTTGCTTGACATACCACTCACCCCGAACAGCGTTCCCCCCCACCCAGTGCAGCGCTCCGTGGCCCCATCGGGAGTTTCACCGAAGAAGATTTTCACAATTGCGGTACCCACGACTGCATGTGGTTGGGCCCTTCGCCCGTGTTTGTTTGTCTCCCCTCTCTCTCTCTCTATTTATCCCTCTCTCTCTCTCTTTCTCTCTCTCTCTCTCTCTTTCTCTCTCTCTCTCTCTCTCTCTCCCCCTCTGTCTCTCTCTTTCTCTTTCCCTCTCTCTCTCTATCTCTCCCTCTCGCTCTCTCTCTCTCTCTCTCTTTGTTCTCTCTCTCTCTCTCTCTCTCTCTCCTCTCTCCTCTCTCTCTCTCTCTCTCTCTCCTCTCTCTCTCTCTCTCTCTCTCTCTCTCTCTCTCTCTCTCCCTCTCGATTTCTCCTTTTCCCGTTTCCGTTCGCCCCCGCGCCATCGGCGGGCGCGCGCCGCATTTCCAGCAGCGCCCAGGCAACGAGTTCCAATCAGGGGGCGCAAATAAATCCCCCCGCGCCCCCCTGCCCGCGCGAAATGGCACGAGGGCGCCGCGGGCTGGCAGAGGTGAGCCCGCGAGGGCCCTGCGATCGTGCACATTGATGTTGCTCTTGTCTGACGATCGCGAGGACGGCGCGCTGTCGCGGCGGTCGCGCGGGCGCGACCCCCTCCGCAGCGACGTAGAGCCCCGGAGTGCGATGCCGAATATGTCGCTCCATGCGTTCGTGGACACGAGGGACTTTCATGCGCGGATCAATGGCGCTCTCAGGTTGCCGCGCAACTTCGCCCGGCGCCGACCTATCCCACCTGGTGGGGGCGCCATCCCGCCGCCAGCCAAACGCCGCCGTGCCACTGCGGAGCGTCGCTTCCGCGCGACCCACGCGGGCGCAGTCGCCCTCGCCCAGCCCCGCCTTCCGCGGCAGTGCGCCCGGATCGCCGCGGGGCGCCGGCGACAGCAGCGCGTCGCGCGGCAGCGAAATGGAAGCCTCCTTCTTCTCCTCCCGATGGTGCTTCGGGCACGGCGCGCGGATCTCAGCCGCGCACCCCCTGGGCCAGAGCGAGCCCTTCTGGAAATTTCTCTCCGAGCGCCTCGCCGCAATCGCCCCGCGCGGGTTGCCCTGATGGCCGCCCGGGCCCGCGGGGCCCCTGGCGAGCGCGTCGTTTGCCGACGATTGTATATCTCCCCCGCAGGCAACGCATTTCCTTGCGCGAGCGCCTGCAGGCTCGCGCGCAGACGCCTGGGGGGCGGCGGCGCCCTGGTGTCTCGAGCCGGCTGGCGTTTGGACAGCGCGGCCTCGCGCCTCTGTCGCCTCCTCGAGCCGGCTGGCCGCAGCTGCGCAAGAGATCGACGCTCGCTGTCGCAATCGTCGCCTCGAGTGCATTCTCTATATAAAATATTTCTCGTGCTCGCTATATAGGGTGCCCCGCCCCCTTGCAATTTGGCGCGAGAGCGGCGCTCCTCGCCGGCCCCGGGCGAACTCGAAACGCGGCGCAGCGGCGCGTCTGACGGCGCGCATTCGCGCGAGCGCGCAGGTGCAGGAAGCGACCCGCCTCCTCGCGAGATTGTTTTCTGCTCAGCTGTGCCGCAGGTCCCATCTGGGGCGTGGTCAGCGCATGCCTCGGAGAGTTGCTTCTGCTTGCTGGCTGGCGCCTCCCTCTTGCTCTCCTCCACCTCCTACTCCTCCTTCTCCCCCCCCCCCTCTACCCCCCCCCTCGCTCTCCCGCCACCCCCGCCTCGATGGGGCGCCCCTGGTGCTCTTCTCCCGCGCGCTGCTGCTGCTTTCAGCTCCCCTGCGCCCCCCTGCCCTATATCAGTCTCTCTCCTTGGTTTCCCCCTCCCCGCCCCTCTCCCCCCCGCTCTCCGCGCGCGCCCTCGCGCCCTCGATGCTTGCCAGCGCTCGAGGCTGAGCTCGTCGCCGTCGAGATGCTTCTGGGCCACCGCGAGCTCTCCCTTCTGCTTGCGCGTCACGTCGGCGATGATCTCCTCGTTCGGTTCATCGTCGGGAATGCATGCTGCCTTGGTCAGGAGATGATCTGCGTCGTCCAAGAACTGCGCCGGCGCGGAGTGGGCGGGCGCGTCGTCCTGCAGGTGGGTTCCCCGCTTCGGATCAGCGCCGCTCCTCTTGCACTCTGCCAGGAAGGTGATATTGCGTTCCTTCGCGGTCGTCGCCTGCCCGCGCAGGGTTTCTGCTGTCTGCGCGTAACGGGCAGGGGGGAAGGGCGAAGGAAAGGAAGGGTGGGGGGGGAAGAGGAAGGCGCATGGTAAGACGCAAGGGGGGAAATCAAAGCAGAATGGTGAGCAGTTTGACAAATAATCAGAAGTCTTCGGTCGCCCGCGCCTGAGCTCGTCTGTTGGCTCCTGCGTGTCCACGCAATATTGGCGCTCCGCTTTCGCGCCAGGCGTCTCCGCGGCTGCCGGAGACAAACGCAGGCCCCCCCGTGCATGTGGGGCACCTCTTGCCATGTCTTTCTCTGTTTCCCAATCTCTGCGCTGCCGCTGCTCTTCTCGCGCGTGGCGCCGTCGTCAAAAACGCAGAAATATTCGGCGTCGATGGCTTCGTCCTCGTCGATCCTGGGCGGGTTTCTCCCGCATGGAATTTCTTCGCGTTCGTCTGCAATTTAGAATGGGCCCATTCGCAATCAATTTTCACGGCAGGGAAATTCGACAAGCTCAACCCGCACTCCTGCATGGGCTGCGTGACCTTGACGCATTTCTGCCTGCCCTTCTCCGTCGATTCTACTCAGTCTCGGCTGTTGTCGTGAAATTTCTGATTGGGCCCTTTCCGCGCTGTGGGGCCCTTGCCGCGTGCTTTCTCGTCGATCCACTGGTCGCAGAATTCCGAATGCTTCTCGCCGCAGAGCTCGTCGAAAGTCGCCAGTGCATTGCGCTGCATGCCGTGCTCTGAAGGCTCCCCGCTCCAGTGCACGAAGTGGTTGCGCATGTAAGTGTTCTGCTTGTCGTCTTTTTTTGGCTTGGAATCCGATGCGGGCGCCGGCGGAAATGATTTCTTGGCTGGGGGAGTTTTCCTTCTGCAGGCCCTCGCGCTTTGGTGGGCCGTTGGCTTCATTTGCTTCCTTCGGTGGTGGTGGCGCCTTCGGCGGTGCCAAGGCCTGGCCCGCTGCGCCCCCCCCCCCCATTCGGCGCCGCGCTGCAGAGCGCGCCCGCGAAGGCAATCGCGTTCGCGACCGCGGGGGGCACGAGCGTCGTGGACCTCGGTCTGCGAACAAGTGAAGAGGTTCGAAGCTAAAATCAGCCTGCGAATGGCATGGGGATTACGAGGCCGCCCGCGTTTCTGGGAGGTTGCGCCTCCCTGATTTGCCGCGTTTGAGGCGAGGCCTCGCATTCAGCGTCAACGCGCGGGCTCTCCCGCAGGCTGGCAGGAGACAGCGCCTCCATGTAGTATTCGTAAATGTTCAATAACCATCGTCATGTTGATCCGGAGGCGTTGCCTCCCTCGGCGGGGAAGTTCCCCTGGTTGTTGCTGCTGCCTGTGGGTTAGTGCAGGATGTTTCGCCTCCCGGAGATATTATCCCAATGTTCTTGCTCCCGGTGCCCTCGTGGTGCCTTTGATATTGCGAGAGCCGCTTGGCTCTCCAGGGGCGCTGCGTTGCCGCTCGGACCTCCTCTGCGCGTCTCCCCGCCGAAGATGGGCGCGAACGCGGCGACTGCGCGCGGCAGTTCTGCAGCAGCCGCGCATCGCGCTGGGGGTGGGGGTGGGGGGGGGCGCGCGAGAGGTGGGGGGGGGGGGCGCAGGGGCATGCGATGGATGGGGGGGGGTTTGGCAAAATTTCCTGGGCTCACATGTCCACAGGGGGGGCGTCGCAGTCGGGGCAGCTCTTCGCGGAATATGCGGGCGCCCCTTCTTCTCATGCTTTCACCTAACGGCGAAGACGGATAGGTTTTTAATGGTGTCAAAAGAACATCTTGACTCCCCCGGGGGGTCTGGGCGGGCGCCGGGGAACGCCGCGGGTGTTTGTGTACCGATGGGGGCGGGGGCCGGGGAACGCCGCGGGGGCGTTTTTTTTTGTTGCTCTTACGGATTCCTATAGATTCCTATATATTCGCCGCGGGTGTTTGTGTGCCTATGGGGGTTGGATCCGGGAGAATGCTGCAGAAATTCCCTATGCAGATTCCCATGAGATCCTACAGAATCCTGTAGATTCTTAAAGCTTGTCTGATGGATTCCTACAGATTCCCTATAAGTTTCTAGAGATTCCATTAGATTCCTTATGGATTTCTAAATTTGTTCCTAAATTGTTTCTTATGGATTCCTGCAGAATCCGATGGGTTCTTCATATAGATTCCTACGGAACCGACGGTGTCATGCTGCGGAAATTCCCTATGCTGATTACTATGGAATTTCCAGGTTCCTATAGATCCCCATATAGATTCCTATCGATTTCTATGGATTCCAATAAATTCTTATGGATTCCTGATCGATTCCTATGGGTTCTCATGGATTCAAATCGATTCCGTATAAATTCCTATAGATTCCACTAGGTGCCTATGGATTCCGATGGATTCCTATAGATCCCTATAGATTCCGGTGGATTCCTGCAGACCGAGGCGGAGGAGGAAGGGGAAAAGGATGAGGAGGAGGAGGAGGGCGAGGAGGAGGAGGAGGTTCAGCAGTAGTACAAGATGAGAGTCACATCGTTCTGACCCCCAGCCCTTGCCCAACGCAGCGTCGGGGCAAGGGTGGAATGGAAGGGGCGAGGGGTCGCGATTGTTTCAGTTTCATGTCCTTAGTTTCCTCGTCGCCGTGTTTCGCTCAGGGACTGCCTCCTTTGCGTCGCCGCCCTCCCGTTCTTGCGCTGTCGCATTGCAATGGCCCCCGCCTCGCCGCGAGACTCGCCCGCGGCCTCGGCTTCTCGCGGTGCTGCTCGGCCTGCGAACGAAGACCGAGGCGCGCCCTCGGCCGCGCCTGCTCGCGGTGCTCCTCAACCCGCGCATTTCACGGCTGCTTCCTGTAATTTTGGGTTCGAGCAGTCGGCGATGTCCGGAAAGAAGTCCAGCGAACACTGCGCCAACTTCGGGCGGGTGTGCGCTAGGATCGTCGAGGGCGCTGATGCTGACCTTTTGTTTGCGCGCGAGGTCGGCGCGTTTCGTCGGGGCCTCCGCCGGGCCGACATGCGCGTGGAAGACGTTCTGAAACAGCCGCTCGGCGACAGCGCTTCCTTCGCCGAGAGCAACAACTACTTGGGCGCATGGGGCTTCGGCGGTGCTTCTCAGCCTGCCGTTGTGCCCCTGCGCGGCGACGCAGGGATCTACCGCGTGCCCATCGGGCGAGAGGTGGGCGCTGTGATCGCGCGGTTCGATGCGCAGACGAGCGGCCAAGGCGAAGTGCATGTGCTCACCGGGGATATGCGCGTCGTCTGCGGCGACCGCCCTCCCACCGTTCTCTTGCGCGACAGCGCGCAGCGGGGCTTCTGCGGCTCCACTCGGGCGGTCTCGCAGCACCTGAGCTGGGCGCGCCTGTCGCGCGCGTCATCGTCGGCGACAACAACCCGGGCCCCCGCCAGACGCGAGAAGCTTTGCAACGCCACAATGACGACGAGGCGTTGTGGGAGGTCTTCGCCTCAACAGCAGATCGTATCGGCGACAGTGTGGCGGTCTATGGAGCCGCCGCGAGTTTCCGGCCCATCGCTGTTGGGGCGTCGTTCCAGGACCGCGGCATGCGCAACGACTCACGCGATGCTGTTGCGGTCGTCATCACTCTCCGCGGTGCTTCTCAGCCTGCGGAGAAGAAGAAACGGAAGATTGTCGAGGTCTCGTTATCTGACACCGACGAGTCGGTCGCGCAGTCGCGGCCTACAACGACGGCGATGTCAAGGACCCACGGCGAAGCAAGCGGCGAGATCCAGGAGGAGGTTGGGCGGCGCGCGCAGGCTCTGCACACGGAGATGAGGGATTATTGGAACCAGCAGTATGAAGGGGATTACGGTCGAAGACTCCTCCACCACCTGAGCCTGTTGCTCTTCGAGAAGAGGAAGTGCGCGGAGTCTGCGGAGGGGGGTGCAGCTGGTGCTCCTCAGCCTTGCTCAGACTATGAGACTACGTTCGCGTCGCAGGACGAGACTGCCCGAACCATTCTGTCTGTCCTCCGGGTTCGCCATGAATATCTGCTGTCGCAGAACATCACCGACTTCCGTCGCGTCCTCACCGAGGACCAGCGCGGGGAACTCGAAAAATGTTTGAGAGCAGATTACGAACATTCCGAGTATCAGCGCGCATTGCAGGATCGAGATGATGAGCAAGGGAAAGCGAAAGGCAATACTCCACCAGGAAGTTCTCGCGGTGCTCCTCAGCCCGCGAGCAAAGGAAGCAAGGCCAAAGGGGTAGGCAAAGGGGGCCTCAACAAGTTCCCCAAGGACCAGCGGCGCAAGCGTTGGCACCGGCATCTGCAACGCGTTTGCGGCGCGAAGCAGATCTGGGAGGTGCTGGCCTTCTTCTGCCGTTTCGACGTTGACATGCCCCGCCGAGTCTTGCGCGTCGAGCCCAGCGATGAAACCGCGGAGCCACCTGCTCGTGACGAAGTCTCGCAGGAACGGCGCCGCCGACCCCAGAAATTCCCGCCGCTCACAGCGCGGGGAATCTCCGGGGTCGGCTTGGACAACCAGCAGCAAGACGCTTACGTGCACGCGTCTATTCGCGCGGTCGTCGGCCTCAAGCGCGCGGTGCACTCCTGTCCTTCAGAGCTCTCAAAAAGGGATTTCGCTGGCATCGGCGCCGGCTCCGCAGACTACTGTCGCACAGATGATGAACATCAAGTCGCGTCGTTGCTTCGACATCATGGCGGTGGTTCATTCAGTCTCAGACGCACGCGCTCATGCGGGCCACCCTCCAGTGGCAGATGCGCACCTCGTGGGTGGCTCCCTGACGCGCCCAAGACGGCGGAGGGTGTGGTCTATGTCTGGGGAGCAGACAACATCGAGAAATGCCGATCACGCACGAGCCAACCGCTGGTGTTTCCCAACATGGCGGCCAAGTTTGATGGCGACCTGCAACTGAACTTGTCGCGCGATCGCTTGGTGGCCGATGAATGCCCGCGTCCCAGAATGACCCAACTCAAGGAACAAGCGGCGCAGGAGAACTTTGCGCAGGACAGGGAGCAGCTGCTCGCCAAGCATGAGGTCACCTGGGACCCAGACAATGCTTTGCAAATTCTCACCGGAGAGGCGCTCCTGTCCTGCTGTGCCTTTCTCGCGATGGCGCCCGAAGACCTGGGCGCAACGTTGCCGCATTTGTTACAAGTGGGCGGGGTGAGGCTGGAGGAGCCGGGCCAACGCCTATTCTTTATCACTACTGCTCGCGATTTCAATGGTTCATGCAAAGCTGGCGTCTCCCAAGCGGCTGCCTTGGCTCTGAGCGGTTTGGATGCCATGTCGGAGTTCCAGCGCGCCCGCGAAACTCTGGCTATCTCCTTTTGGCAAGTGTCGCATGGTGCGCCGCGTGCGCCGCGCGCCTGCGGAGGAGGGAGGTGGCGCGCCTGAGCGGGTTTTTGTCGACGCGACTGTGGTTGCAGCATCTCCGCTCCAGATATCGCACGCCGCGAATTTCTTACCATATTATTTGGGAGATCCTGAAACAATGCCGCGAGAGCCGGGATGCTATGCTCGCGGCGCACCTCACTGAGAAGCATGCTTGCCCATTCTACGGCATGCGCGTGGATTATGCTCCGGAGGTGCCACTTGGCAGTGGTGACGCTTCTCAGCTTACCCGGAACTGCCACTTGGCAGTCGCTCTTGTTCGCACCGCGCAGAAGTCGCGGTGCGTGTCCACAGCGAGTGGCTTCCTTGTGTCTACAACAGGTGTGAAAGACGCTTTTGTCGATGAGAACTCTGTCGCGATGACGGTTCACGGCTAGTGCTCCGTAGACAACTTGCTCTCTTTCAAAATGGGTCCGCCCAGCAAAGCTAAGCACAGAGTCTGCCCGTTGCTCATTTCAGCCTGTTCAAAAGAGGCTATCACAGTGCAGAGCGTAACCCATATCGACGAGGACGCAGTGACACAGGCAGAGTACTTCTTCATGAAAATGAACAAACGTGGCGCGCGCGCAGGGCTCCCGCAATCTGGCGAGCACAAGCGAATGAATGAGTGGACCAAGACACCGGACCCAGCCAAGAAATGCAGAATCCGCGAGGGTCATCCGTCAGGAGAAAGCTTGAAATAAAGGGCTGCGACCTTGATGTCCATTGAGCGATGCTTCTCAGCTTCCTGCCGCGTCGCGTCCTGCCAGCGATGCTCCTCGGCTTGTCCTGCCAGCGATGCTTCTCAGCTTCCTGCCAGCGATGCTTCTCAGCTTGTCCTGCTGTGCTGATGTCCTGCCAGCGACGCTTCTCAGCTTCCTGCACGTCGCGCCCCATCAACCTTTTAAGCTGCTTGGTCGGCGGATTAGGATTCGCCTCGCGGGCTGCCCGCGATATTTGCCTCGAGCATCTCGTCTCTCAACCCCGGCTGACTCGCATTTGCCCGCGGTGTTTCTCAGCCCACAGCTGCTGTTGTGTATGCTTCTGGAAGATTACTCGCTTCCGCCTGCAGCGCTTCTCAGCTTGCCATTGCTCTTTCGATTACTTGGAACTGTTTTTTTGTATGAGCGGCTGCGGAAGCTTGTTCGTGCGAGGAGAAAAACAAACGTCGGCAACATGAGACTGTCATTGCCAATGCGGCTGCGATTGCAAAAGCGGCTGCAACTGCCATTGCCATGGTGACTCCGATTGCGACTGCAGCTAGTCCTGCCATCACCACTACTGCTCGTACCTCTGCGACTACTACTGCAAACGCGGAATTGCGCTCATTGATGGAGATGCCCCGTTTGTGGTAGCACTCCTCGTAATACTCCTACTGCTACTACAACTGCTATCATTACTATTGCTTGTCACAGCTATTTCTACAACTACTCCCATCACTACTAGTACTATTACTACTATTATTACTACGACTACTGTCACCACCATGATCAGACATTGTAATACTATTACTATTACTGCTTATGCTGCTGCTGTTGCTTCTGTCGCTGCTGCTACTGCTAATGTAGCTACAGCTACTGACACTTCTGTCATTGCCGCTGTGACTGCGGCTGCGACTGCCGTTGCCGCTGCGATTGGCAGTCTGAATGCGATTGCGACAGCAGGAACAGAGGAAGTCGATATGTGGATTTTCATAGGAATCTGAAGGGAATGCTTCCATATATGCTCATGCGCATCGCTGTTCGGTTGCTTTGCCCGGATATTTTTTTGGAGGGGGGGGGGGGGGGGGGGGGGATGCGCCCCTTTATCCGGATCTTTCCCAGGCCCGCCGCGTCAGCCGCGAGACGGGCCTGTGGACGTTCCAGCAGTGGGCCACGGGGTGGCATGCGCATTACTTCCCAGTGAAGCATTGCAGTTGCATATTCTCGTTGTATGTCCCATCCGTATATCTACATGTTGCAATAGTTTTGTTCCTTTCTACTTCCCTTGCGGCATTAGTCTGGATCTTTCTTCTATTTGCCCTGGGCCCACTTGGAATTATGCGCCTCCCTGCGACGTTCGAGCTTTCCATCGTTATGATTGGCGGCCAGGTGGCATTTGCTGCCCCGCGCTGCCGGTGCCAACTGAATGCGAATTCCATTCTGCTGAACTTCCAATCGATAGATCTCCCCCCATAATGATAAAATACCAAAAGCGTGCCATTTTACAATGAAAAAGCCGATGTGTTTTTTACATATGATAAAAAAGATCAAAAAAAAAAAAATCCAACAGAAAACATGCAATAATTGAAAGTACAAAGAAAAACACGAATAAGCACATGCAAACACATAGAACACACCATTGAGACACATATCTGCGTCAAAGATCCCAGGAAAATGATTTCCGCGTCTGTTATGTGAAACTCGCGTTCAGCGCGCGCTCCCTGCGCAATGTTTTTCTGAGGCCCGGCGAACTGCCAGCTGCTCGGGCGGCGCCTGCCGTCGCGCAGCGCCGCGGAGCTGCTTCGGTCTCAGCTCGCGCCCTCGCGAGGGAGAGGGCGCGCAGGGCGGCGCGAGAACTGCGGCGCGGGAAGATGGGGGAGGGGAAAGACAGAAGGGGGGGAAATATACAATATTAATAGCAACAAGACGGATCAGGAGGGGGCGACAAGCAGGAGGATGAGGAGAGCAAGAAGACAGAGGAGACGAAGTACAACAAACGAGAAAGTCAGCGGAGCGATGGCAGGAGGCGAAGCCTCCCTGCCAACGTTCTCATGTTCCCGAGATCCCGCCAAAGCCGCGTCTGAGAGAAAGCCGCCGAGCTGCGCTGGTTCCTGCGGCAGCCTCTATTGGGTGTCTGCGATGGCGCAACATTCATTCGCTTCGACTCGAAGAGATACAACTGCTCTCATCTTTTCCTTGTGAATTCATTGCGGGATCACAAGCGCCCGGTCGCCTGCGCGGCATCCGTGGCGCAGAGCCCTGGGCGCGCGCGCCGCGCCCGGAGAACTGCGCGATCTCCTGCTGCGAGGTCAGCATCTGCAGGCGCCGTGTCCGCAGGTTCTGCAACTGCTGCGCTGCCTGCTGCTGCGTCGGAGGCGCTGCGCCTCCGCCTGTCTGCCGCTGTTGCTGCTGCAACTGCCTGCTGCCAGAGCTGGTGGTGCTGCTGGTGTTGCTGGTGCTGCGGTTGCTCCGCGCCTGCAGCTGGTGCTGCTGCCTGCTGTGGCGGCGCCGCATGCTGCCGCTGCTGTGCCGGTGCTGCCTGCTGCCGCTGCTGTGGTGGCGCTGCCTGCTGCCGCTGCTGTGGCCGCGCCGCCTGCTGCCGTTGCTGCGGCGGTGCTGCCTGATGCCGCTGTTCTGGTCCGAAGTGAAATTGCTGTGGCGCCGCTGCTGCTGTTGCTGCCTTCTGCCAAGGTTGCGGTGCTGCGGCCTGCAACCAGGGCTGTGGCGGTGTCGCTGCGGCCGTTAAGCCCTGCTGCCAGTGCTGTGGCGGTACTGTTGCTGCTTGCTGCCGGGCGAGCTGCGGTGGCGGTGTTTCGCCCATCTGGTGGTGCTGCCAGGCCTGCTGCGCTGCTGGTTGCGCTGATGGTTCGGCCCGCCACGCCAGCGGCGCCGCCTGCTGCGGCGCCTTCGGCTGTGCTTTCGCGTTGGGGGCTAGGTGGCCTTCTTCTTATTTTTCTTTGTCTTCGGCGGCAGCTTCAAGCACCTGGAGCGAATGCCCGACTCGGACGCCACCTGCGTCCGTTGCAGGCGGTGCTTCTGCTGCTGCTGCTGCCGGCGGTGCGTCTGGTGCTGCGCTGCTGCTTCTTCTGCTGCTGTTCGTGCTGCTGCAGGCGGTGCCTCTTCCGATGCTGCAGGCGGTCTTCTTTCTGCTGCTGCAGGCGGTGCGTCTGATGCTGCTGCTGCTGCGCAGCAGCGCCCTTTCCTGCTCCTGCAGGCGCTGCTGGCGCAGCGCGCGGTGGCCCTGTCTGCCCTGGCGCAAGCCTCTTCGGAGGCGGCCCGTCTGGCTGCCGCGGCGCTCGGCGCGGGCGTTCCGGCGCCTGGTCGCGGGGGCAGCGGCGGCGGCGATAGCGCAGGTTGTCCACTCCCTGGGAGTGGGGGGTGTGCCCGAGATGCATGGAGGATGCGACCTGTCCTTCTGTCTGTCTGTCTCTGTCTGTCTCCGTCTGTCTGTCTGTCTGTCTGCCTGTCTGTCTGTCTGTCCGTCTGTTTATGTCTGTCTGTCTGTCTGTCTGTCTGCCTGTCTGCCTGCCTGCCTGTCGGTCGGTCGGTCGGTCTGTCTGTCTGTCTCTATCTGTCTGTCTGTCTGCCTGTCTGTCTGTCTGTCTGTCTGTCTGCCTGTCTGTCTGTCTGTCTGCCTGCCTGCCTGCCTGTCAGTCAGTCAGTCAGTCAGTCAGTCAGTCAGTCAGTCAGTCAGTCAGTCAGTCAGTCAGTCAGTCAGTCAGTCAGTCAGTCAGGTCAGGTCAGGTAGTCAGTCAGTCAGTCAGTCAGTCAGTCAGTCAGTCAGTCAGTCAGTCAGTCAGTCAGTCAGTCTCTCTCTCTCTCTCTCTCTCTCTCTCTCTCTCTCTCTCTCTCTCTCTTTCCCTCTTTATCATCCTTCTTTTTTGTGTTGTTGTCCCTTTTTTTTTTTTTTTTTTTTTTTTTTTTTTTTTTCTCTCTCTCTCTCTCTCTCTCTAACTCCCTGCCTGTGTTTCCCTTTGCGCTGCTATCTGCCCCTTCCTCTGTCGCAGTCTCGCCGGCGCGCTCTGTCTGCGTCTGCGGCTCGCGCCGACGGAAGTTTCAAGGAAATTCGCGCATGCAAACTTCGACGTTCCACTGCGGCTTGTGACAACTCAGAGGTGCCACTCGGATGTTCCAAACATTGAAGCTTCAGCGCTGAATCTCGTAGTTTTAATCCGGGAGAGTTTCCCAGGTCGAGGTTTTACGAACCATCGCGAGAACTTCAAGTTCGAAGTTCCGCATCAAACTTCCTTCGTTGATCGCATGCTTCGCCCGTCTTCCCCCTCTCCAAGGTGGGGGCGACGAGATCCACCGTCGCTGTCGTCGTCCGCCGCGCCGGTCGCTGCGCCACTCCGTCTCCATGGACCTGAGATGACAGGAACTAATGCGTTGTATTGTTTTGTGTGTATTGTTGATTCATATTATATCCAGAGGCGTCGCCTCCGCTGTCTCGGAGGCATCGCCTCCGCTGAAAGTAATGTAATCTCACAGCGCTTCATCAGCCTGGCAGGCTGGGCATTCTGTCGCGCTAGGGAACTTGCGCTGACGCGCGCATTTGCAAATGCGGTTCAGCGCCCTGGGCCTTGCCGCCGCTCGCGCGCGCGCGCCGCGGGCGCCCGTGCCCCGCCGCTGGCACTTGCGCGAAACGCGCTGCGCGATGTCCGCGCGCTCGCCGCAATGCACGCAGCGTTGCGCGCCGCGGCTTTTCAGCCATGTGCGGTCCAGGCGCTCGCCGTCCTCGTGGCGGGGCCGGGCGGCGTCCGCGCCCCCCTCTGCCTCCGCCTCGTTCTCCTCCTCCTGCTCCCCCGCCTCTTCCTCGCCGCGTCGTGGGGCCCGTCGCCCGGCCCCCCGGGCGGGCCGCCGCCGCCGCCTGGCGGCCCGCCGCCTGGGCGCGCGACCGCGGCGCCGCCGCCGGGCGGGCCGCGGTGCATGGCTGCAGCCTGCGGGTGATGAAGGTGGGCGGCAGGAGGCGATGCGTCCTCCTCCTCCTTTTTCTCCTCCTCCTCCTCCTCCTCCTCCTCCTCCTGCTGGTTCCACCTCCCTCCTCCCCCCTCCTCTTGCTCTTGCTCAGCCCCCCCCCCCCCGCGCCCCGCCCCCCCTGGCCCGGGGCGCCAGCGGCGCCGGGGGCGCCGGCGCCGCCGTGGCCCGCGAGGGCCGCGCGAGGCCGAGAACGCCGCGGAGGCGCGCGAAAGGCGGGGACCAGCCGGGCCCCGAGCGCTGCCGGTCTGCGGCGGGCGGCGAAAAATAATCTCCTTTGCGCGGGAGGTACCTCCTGGCCGCAGACGGCATTCTCTTGACCAGGGAGTGGGAGGGAGCTCCTCCTAGCGCACACTGCAGAGCGCCCCGCGGCGACGGCGGCGAGGCCTCCAAGCGGGAGGCAGAGCCTCCTTCAGCTACTCCGTTCCTTCCCTCCCCGCCCAATGCCAAACTCGCGGCGCCCCTCGCCCCCCCCCCTCCCCGCGCCCCCCGCGCCCCTCCTCTCCGCGCGCCCTCCCCTTCCCCAGTCCGCCCGCGAAGGTCGTCATCCTTGCGGCGCAGCCGTGGCGCGTCGGCGCCGTTCTCTGCCCCCCCCCCCCCCCCCCCTCCTCTTCACGCATGCGTTCCCTCTCCCGCGGTCTCTCCGGGGCCTTCCCCCCCACCTCTTCCGCGCGTGCTTTTTTTCTGGGAGTTCTCAGGCGAGAACTCCCGACCCTTCGCGCGAATTTCCCCATTCGGCGATGAGGCCCATGGACAGCTGGGCAACGGTGTGGTCGGCCATCTCCATCACCTGTTCGTCGGAATAGGCGGCGCCCGCAGACCGCTGCGCGAACTGTCTCTCGGGGGCGCGCACCTGGCCCGCAGCCCGATCGCGCCCGCGCTGCGTGGCGACCCGCGCCTTGTCTCCAGGTGGCCGCTTCGGCTCCGGCGGCGGTGCCGCGCCCCCGCCCGCCTCGGCGGCGGGCTCCTTGCCCGCGCCCGCGGCGGCTGGCCTCCTCTTCGGCGCGTCATAATCTGCGCCCGAGTCCACCGTGTCGTCGCTGCTGTCTCTCTCCTCGCCGTCGCCGTCCTCGACGGCGCAGCCGGTCTTCCTCTTCGCAGCCGCCGGCCTTCTCTTCGCCCCGCCCCTGGGATGAGCCCGCCCGGCCCCCTCGTCGACAGGCGCGCCCCCCTCGCCCGCGGCGTGCGCCGTGCCGTTCGGCGCGGGCGTCTCGACCGCTTCGCCGTCGACGGCGATCGCGGCGAAGGCCTTCGGGCCGTTCCGCGGCGAGAACCTGTCTTGCCCCCTCGCCACCTCGAGCGCGCTGTAATCCACCCGCTCGTCGACGGGCACGTCGGGGGGCGCCTCCTGGCCCACCTGGATCGGCGCGCGGGGAGATGCGCGAGGGGGGGGGGGGGGGGGGCGAGGGGGGGGCGGGGGGGGGGCGACAGGGCGAGGGGAAGCGGGTGGATATGAAGCACGCAACCAAGCCAACGCCATGTATAGGGAGCAAGCGATCCAAACCATCATGAATTCATTGTGCGCGGCGCCAAAAACAACGAAACTGCCCGGCCCGCCTGCCCCCCCGAGTTTTCGGCGGGCTGCTGCGCGCAGTCTCCTGCGACGGGATAATCTGCACCCCGTTTTCGGTTTGGCGCCTCTGCAGTGGGCCCCTGACGCCGTGGAGGGCGAGGATGTCGCCTCCCCCGATGCTGGGCGATGGTCCGCCCGAGGCGACCGCCGTCGCCGCGCTCTTCGCGGGGGGCGGCTCGCGGCCGCCGCGGGGCGCCGCTGCGCCTGGCGTGGGTCCGAACTCGCCGCCCTTTGCGTCGATCACCGACATCGCTGCGGGAGAGAGCGCGTTCTTCTACTAGTTGAAGCGGCCCTTCCTGTTGTGCCGTCATCTTCGACCGCGCCGCTGCCGCGGCGCCCCTTCCTCCGAGCAGATCTTTAAGCCTGCCTGGATGTCCTTCGCGGACAACTTGGGCGTCTCTGCGTTGATCGCCGACGGGGCAGTCATGTTCAGGCGGGCGATGTCCTCGAACGAGCCCGGGAAGCGAAATCCCAGGATCTCGCCCTTACACTTGCGGATGAGTGCGTTCAGGTCTTCCCGGGGAATCTCCACCTTCGCTCGGGACTGCGCCATGGCCGCCGCGCCGACGCGGGGGCCAGCGCTGCCGGGGCCTCGAAGGCTGGCAGAAATGCGGCGGCGAAGGGTCAGCTCGATGTTCTTCCGTCGTCATCATCCCCCCCCCCCCCCTTTCACCTCGGAGCCACTTATCGATGTATCCTTGCCCTTTCTTTCGCGTTCCCCATCGCTCGCAGGGGCCTTGGCGTCCTTGTATGCTTTGTACTCCTTATAAACGCGCGGCACATATCAAAGCGCCCCGAACCGCGCCGATTTCGGGGCAGGTGCGCCTCCTCATGCAACGCATATGCTACGCAACAGGAGGCGTCGCCCCCTCGGCGCATGATGCTCGGATCTCGTTACAAGAGGCGCGAGGCTTCTCACAGAGTGCTGTCGCGTCGTCGTCGTCACAGAGTGTTCGTCGCTAAATCATGGGGCGACGTTCGACGTTAAATGTAACGTCGCGACCTTACTTTAACGTCGTATACCTTCACTCAGGTTGGACGCGATGTGAGGTTAGATGGATGTTCATGGTGGGGGGCACGAAAAGCTCGAAGTGGTCTACAGTTGGCTCTGGAGATTCAAAATCAGTTTCAATATGGAGTTTCGGGTACACGAATAACCCGAAGCGGCCTTCATTTGGGCGTGGACGCATGTTCTTTTGGTTTCTGTTCTTGGCGTGCAGAATCAGACCCAGGAGAGGACTTCGGGGAGCACGAAGAGACCGATGTGGCCAGTAGCCTATATTTTGTCCCTGACATACAAAATCAAGCCTGGGGATGAAAATCTGGGAGCCCGAGGAGCACGACAGGGAGGTCGAGCGACCCGATGATCGCAATACCTATGGTGCTGCAGGCACTCCGAGGGCCACCTCGGATTATTCACATGAAGTGGGGGTGCCATAGGGAGATGGCTATTGTCCGAAATATCTTCGCACCTCACAGACGAAGCTCCCTCTCGACTTCGTCACTACGGCAGTATGATGTGTGTGTGCGTGTGTGAAGGCGTGAATGCGTCAGGTTGTGTGTGGGGCACTGCTGATGATAGTGATGATGCTGCTGCCGATCATGATGATGGTGATGATGATGATGAGGATGAAGATGATGATGGAGATGGTGCTGGTGATGCTGATCTTGATGCTGCTGCTGTGGGTGTGTGAGCGGGTGGATATGTCAACTACGATGGTCGCGATAAACGGGATGATAGGTGTGCGTGTGTGGCGGATGATGACGGGATGGTGATAAAGATGCTGGTGCGTGTAGAAAAGCGAGGGAGGATAATGATAAGGTTCCTGCACCAGGGTCTCCGGATACAGCCAAAACCCCACCATGGATGAGGGTAACTCACTTTGTGAAGCTAAGCCTGGATCGTGTTCTGGCGGCGGGGGGGGCATCGTAGTGCCCCACGCGTGCCGGCCCGCCGCCCCTGTCAAAACCAGCTCCAAAGCGCGAGCTGCGGCAACATCTTCGGCTTGTGTCGCCATGTGACAAGGATGGTGGGGAGTGCCCTGGCACGCGCGGCGCACCTCGTGGGCGTTGCGCACCTGGCGGTCATCGACATTGGTTCCCGATGATTGCCGATGGCGGCCCCTGCCTATGCTGAGACTCGGGTGTGTTGGACTCCAGGGGGGCGCCATTGTTAGGGGACTCTCCTTACTTAATCGATGGCCTCTTAGACGACCCAAGCACGGCCCGAGAAGCCCTCAAGGGAGCCCCAAGAGGCCCCCAAGAGGCCCAAGGTTCCCCCAGAAACGCCCAAGACGCTCCAAATTGCTCCCCAGGAGCCGACGCGAGGCCCCCCCACGACGCCCCAACATGCCTCAAAGAGGCCCTCAAGAGACACCCGAAGAGACCCAAGGACGCATCCACACAGGCCTCCGACGTCTCCAACTGACGCCACGCTCCCGCCACCCCGCTGGGCATCGTGTCTGGATGAGCTGGTGGGGATGCGCAAAGCGTTGACGAGTTCCCCCCCCGTCCACCTCCCAAGACGGGCCCATGCCGCCTCAGGAGAACCCCAAGACGGCCTTCGACCAAACGGCCACAATTCCAGCTCAAGAAGACCTCGGGGGCGGCAAAAAGGGGTGTCCAAGAGGGGGGGGGGGGGGGGCAAATCACGACCGGCGGCATGTGCGCGGCCCAGCGGGGGGGGCAGGGACGTAATGAAATAAGAAGAGGCGTCATGAAATCTGGGGAAATATCATGGCCCCCGGCATGATATCCACCCCCCTTAGTCATCACTCCCCTCTTTTCCGTCCCCGAAAACCACATGCCCCTTCCTAGAGGCCCCACGAGGCCTCGCGAAGCCTGCATGGGTCGCCGAAGGGGACCCCCAGCGAGGGCCCAAGAGGCCACACCGCTCGGAGTCCAGAGAATTCGAGTGTGCTGTGTCCAGATGGCCTCGAAAAGGGCTCAAAGACGACCCCAAGGCACCCCACGCCGGTCCAACAGACCAAGGAAGGTTGCTGCTCTCGATTTGTTTGGCCCTCCGTTGGAAAACCGAAAACATAGAACACCCTCAACATGTCCTGAAGAGCCCCCCAGAAGATTCAAAATTCTCCCGAAGACGGCCCCAAGGCACCTGGAGATCTGTTCACAGCCCACCAAAAGCAGCAAGAGGCCCCCGGAGATGTGCCGAAGACCCACAGGAGGCCTCCAGCGAACCCCTGGGAGGCAAAGCGCATCGAAAAGCACGAACGATTCCCGTTGTGAGTTGTTCCCGAGGCTTTTCGGCTTCGGATAACTTCTGGGTCGTGTCAAGGAGCGCCACACATAGGTGGCCACATCCGAACCCTACCCCACCAACCATCGATTCTTCTGAATCGATGGGAGGCTGGGGTTGGGTCCGGATTTCGCAACGTGTTCGACGAATTCCGAAGCGTATCCCCGCCGCCCATCGAGATGCCTGAATCGTTGATCGGCGAGAATAGGGTTCGGATTTCGCCGCCGAGTAATCCCCCAGAGCGCCACCAGACGGCCCCAACCCAGACGGCCGCGAAGCAGACTCAAAACGCCCCCCCGTACGGTCCAATGCCGCTCCAAGAAGGCCCCCAGACCGCACCGAGATCTGCTGGGGCTGCCCCCCAAATGGATATACCCAGCTTCTTCGAGAGAATTCGGCAGATCCTTCGGCCGATACTTCGCGATCAGCACGGCCCCCAGACTCCGACAGGTCCCGAAGTGCCTCCCAGAAGCTTCAGGCCCCCGAAGACGGCCCCAAGAGGCCACGTGCCCCAAAGCCCTCAAGAGGCCTCCGACTGGACCAGTTGGAATATGCGACGCGTCACAAGTTTCAACGCCGCGTGCATCTCCGCCAAATTACCAGGACGCAGCCGCTGATGCGCCTCTGGCGTCCTCGACAGCACGAAGCGAAAATGGTGGAGCGAACCTAGGTTGATCCGCCACCGTGCCTGCGGCACGTTGAGGCGTGGAAGAATGCCAAAGGCTGTCTGTAGTCTTCTGAGGGGCCCAGCCGACTGGAACACCCCTGTTTGGGGGGGGTCCCTGGGCGGCCATGGCGCCTCCCTGGGGCTCTCCAAGGCTTCCTTGACGGCCCAGGAAGCCCCCAAGGTGGTCCAAGAGGGCCCCGAGTCGCCGAACGATCGCTCGAAGACGCCCAAGATGGCCTCCAGATTGCCCAAGAGGCCTCCAAGACGCCCCAAGAGGCCTCCAAGAGGCCTCCCAAGAGGCAAACATTAGTGATTTGCCAATGGATTTCGACCGATTCTGGCGGTCTCGCCTGTCGGCTTTCCGACGCTCCAAGACGACCCACGAAGGCCCAAGAGGCCTCCAAGAGGGCCCTAGGACGGCCCAAGAGGGCCCCAAGAGGGCCCAAGAGGTGCCCAAGACGCCCAAAGAGGGGCCCAAGAGAGGGAACACGAACACCGAAAATCCGAGCCTTCCGCCCCAAGAGGCCCCCAGGAGGCGCCAAGAGGCGTCCAAGATGCCCCCAAGAGGCCCCCAAAGGCATCGAAACTGCCTCCAAGAGGCCCCCGAAAGGCCTCCCACGATATCCCAGTTAACTATCCACAGCCCAAGCACGGTGGCGGGACTTGCTGTAGACAGCTGGATGTACGGAAACTCCCGATGGGTCTGCGTGTCTTCGCACTCCACTGGGAACCCAAGATCGCGAGACAAGGGCAACGGCTGCGAGCCAGACAGAAACTGGGAAGGGCGAGGCCTGATCCGCCCGCGTGCGCCCGCACACCGCTGGACGGAGAACGCAGGAAAGCGGGGACAACTGCACGCCGGGCAGCACCCAAGAAACTGCCAGGTCTAAGCTGGGCCCGCGCGTGTCCACGCTCCGCGGTGCAGCGACCCGCCAAAGCTTCGACCGCGCCGTGCAAGGGCTGATGGCTGGCGCCGTGGCCCCAAAAAAGTGTGTGTGTGTGTGTGTGTGTCTGTGTGAGTGTGAGTGTGAGTGTGTGCGTGTGTGTGTGAGGGAGGGGCGACAGGTGCACACCTAGCAGACCCAGGGCAAACGAGACGTGTGTATGTAACGCCACTGGCCCCATGCGGTCGGGGCGTCCGAGACGGCCCTGGATAGCTCCAAGAGCTCCATACAGGCCAAGAAGGCTTTCAAGATAACCCAAGCTGGGCCACGATAGCCGCCACCGTACTTTCCTAGTGAAGAGACCCCAAGATCGCCACGAGGCGGCCAAGAGTGGCCGCGAAGCCGCCCAAGGAATTCCCCCAAAGAGGTCCACATCCTTGAAACACCTCATGTGTTTCAACGATGTTTGATTTCTCGCCTTTTCGGCTCCGCTGGGCTTACAAAGACGAGGGTGGCTCCAATACCACCCAATATAGCTCCAAGAAGGGCCCAGACCGGCCCCTCTTGGGCCTGAAGGAGTCCCAAAAGTACCCGAAGAAATCTCCAACAACCGATCTTCCATGAAACAGGGGGGCGTCGCAAGGACCCCAGTGATCAGCACTGCAAGGACGCACACGTCACACTTAATCAAATTAGATGCGAGCATGCGACCGCATTGCGACCACATGTGTCTGCAGTATCTCAGCAACAATTCTGCAATGTGCTCATCTGAGGATAGAAGTGGCTGCTCTGGCGCTCTGTCCACCACGCCACATGACACAACCTCATAGACCACACTCTGGGTGATGAAGAGATTCGGGGGGGGGTCTCCCGTCGGTTTGCGATTGGCTTCGCGTCTGATTCGGAGTGTATCGAACCATTCACCTGTCCTGCACATTAGTTTAGCCATGAATGCGAGGCCCATCTGCTTAAAACAATTCCGCAATATCGACATGTGGGTGACTGTTTATGATAGTGGATCCGCTGATTGTTGCGGCAACCACGGGAATACCCACGGAACGACGATGATAGAAAAATGAGCTGCGATGACCTCTCTGCACTGACTGGCTACCCTGCTATTCATATATGGTTACGTGTTCTCTCCGGATTACGAAGCACGGTGTGTGTGTGTGCCTGCTGCAACGTCTAACGGAATTCCACACATAGTTCTGTTCCGATTCGGCTATCACTCATCTGCCATACCACCCGTTCCTGTAGATGTACATGTGCACTTCGAGAATGGGAATACCCGGCACGCACCTTACTACCAACAGTAGATCTTGACGACCTACCACACCACCCCAACCCAACCCGAAGACCCGACTTTGACCCGAATTTCGGGTTGGGGGGGGTACGGGTTCCATGTGTTTTTTCTATGTTCCCCGACCCCCCCCCCACACTAGAAATGGAGTGCAAATTGAGGCCTTCGGGTTGGGTTGGGGTGGTTTGGTGGGTGGTGAGGTCTATGCAGACATAGAACTGTTCCCCCAGCAACGACGTAGAGCTCAGAGGTCCACACTGAACGTTTTTCGCACAGTGGACCTGGCTGGTGGGCTCTCGCTCCGTGGGCGCCCGCGGCAGCCCCGTGAACGCCCCGCGCGCGGCAGCAAGCTGCTGGATGTGCGTCTTGCAGGCACCCCGTGCGCCTTTTGCAGGCTGTTGGCTGCTCGCCCGGTGGGCGCCCACGGGCGACGAGGCGTCAGTGATATGCGACGAGTCGCCGCCACATAGCCCACACAACATCGTTTACGCCACTTGCACTACCATCAAGTAGCTGGCAATCTGTAACTTACACCTGATACTACAGCGTGCGCCACGTCACTCACACGATGCAGCTTGCACAACCTAGATGGCACCTGCACCACATAGCTAGTACATCTAGAGCGCCCGAACTCACCGTTTGGTGCCCGCGCTGGCACACGTACATCTGAACTGCCCTCCCACGGGGCAACTACAAAATAACACACGGAACGACCAACGGAACGACCAACGGGATAACCCGCATGGAAGCCCAGGCGAAAACTCACAGGATATCCCAAACACCCTACTGGATCACGACGGGACACTCACGGGATACTCCAAGGAACAATCCAAAAGACATCGGGACAACTCACGGGACAACCCACGGGGGGAATCAAGGAACAAACAAAAGACAACACCACGGAACAACCCGCAGGATAAACACGGGACAACCCACGGGACAACCCCGCGGGCCCTGAGACGCACATGAGGAAACGTTGTGCCCGACTTGGTCATAGCCTCGGCCAACACATCATCGCCCATGTACAACTTCGCCTCGCCCACACGCGCGACACGAATCGAAGCCGAAACAACATTCGTAGCTGGATTCACGTCGCAACCTTCGACATAGAAATCCACTGTATAGCCGTGCGTCCCAGATCATTGCATTGTATCGTGACGCAACGCCGAGCACGGCACACCATTGAATAGCATGAAATTGCATGGGATAGCCTAGAATAGTTTAGCAGATGGCAGCAAAGCACTGCACATCATAGTGCGGCATCTAAAAAACTGCGTAGCATACTACCACGAATGATCCGCCACCGTGCCTGCAGCACGTTGAGGCGTGGAAGGATGCCAAAAACTGCCAGGCAAGTTTGCGTACTCTTCTAAGGGACCCCCCGCCCGCTCCGGTAGCACCCAACCGACTGCACCACCCCTACATGGGGGGTCCCTGGGCGGCCATGGCGCCTGTCTGGGGCTCTCCAAGGCTTCCATGGCGGCCCAGGACGGTCCAAGAGGGCCCCGAGTCGCCGAACGATCGCTCGAAGACGCCCAAGATGGCCTCCAGATGGCCCAAGAGGCCTCCAAGACGCTCCACGAGGCCTCCAAGAGGCTTCCCAAGAGGGCCCCAAGAGGCAAACATCATTAATTCTCTTGTGGTCTTTGAAGGTTTTTCTGGCGTTCTCGCCTTTTCGGCAACCCGATGCTCCAAGACGGCCCACGAGGCCCCCAAGACCACCCCAAATCGAAGGCCCCAACACGGCCTAAGAGCGCCCCAAGATGGCCCAGGAGGCGCCCAAGATGGCCCAAGAGGGCTCCATGACGGCCCCAAAAGGGATCCAAGAGAGGGAACACGAACTCAAAAAATCCGAGCCTTCCGCCCCAAGAGGCCCCCAGGAGGCGCCAAGAGGCACCCAAAATGCCCCAAGAGGCCCCCAAGAGGCCTGAAAGAGGCCCCATGAGGCTCCCAAACGGCCCCCTAGAGGCCTCAAAACTGCCTCCAAGAGGCCCCCCGAGAGGTCTCCCAGGAGATCACAATAAGCATCCAATAGGCTTCATATCCACAACCCAAGCACGGTGGCGGGACTTGCGGTGGGCAGCTGAATAACACTGCAACGCGCTGCAAGCTACAAAGCATATTAGTTCATAGTACGGTGCAATCTAGCGAAACACTGTGTGACACAACATGGCACAGCCGAGCGCAACATATCGCATGCGTGTTTTAATGTGGCATCCACAAGGCGCAACAACATGTAGCGCTGAGACCAGGTTCGGCTGTGGGGACCTTCAGTCATCTAGCCGCAGATGGCAGCAGTGCGCGCGCAAACTCAAATCGATACACGATGTTATTGCCACCGCTTCGTGATTTTATTGACACCGCATCTTGGTTGCATCCGTAGCAGTGTATCGAAACACTGCGTAACACGGCAGAAAGCAAACCATCGCATGCTACAGCACGACGTACAGTGCCAGTGCTCGAGTAGAGCATCGACTGCAGAAATGATGCACTTGGTCGTTCGTCGAATGTATAAACAAAAACATACGTATAGGTTTCATAAATGCGCTGGTATTCTACGTATGTTTGGTAGTTCCGACGGACGCAAGGTTGGGTAAACGAACTCCGTAGTAGATCTCCTACTCGCAATGTGCTCCGAGCGTGGCCCCTGGCGACCCCACCCCAGTGCCGCAGGACGCCGGGCGTCCCGAGCGACTCCGGAGGGCCTCGAGCTTGGCCAGGGACGGCCAAGGGGTCCTCGGCACCATGCGCCAGACGAGCTTCGAGTGGGATATCGACTACAGATTTGATTTGGTTTTCGTCGAACCTACCAAACATGCGTCTATTGTTCTGTAGATATACGGAGCATTCTACGTACTTGGTCGTGGATTTGACGAACACGGGGTCAATCAATCATGTAGTCGATCTCCTACTCGAGAAGTGGGGATCCTTGGGCAAATCCAGAGCGGGGAGAGATCGAAGGCTAAGCATACCCTCATCTGGATACATGGGGCCCCCAAACGGCACCAAGAGCCCAATCGGAAGAGCTCGACAGGACCATCACGTCCAAGACGGCCTCGGGAACCCCAGCAGGCGCAGGCTTTGAAGATAAGGCCCAGGGAGACTCCAAGCAAGATCCCAAGAAGCCTCCAACAAACGCTTCGGCAAAACGCAGCGCAACAACCACACACCGCTTGGGCTGCGTCCCGATGCAGCACACATAGAGCCGGTTCCTTCAGACGACCTCAAGAAGATCCTATCCAGTCTGCTCGCGGACCGCGGTAGAGCAAACCCGAACGCATGTCGATTCTACGCCGGCGCGGCAATATCAATCAACATCGGATCACGAAATCGGTCGGATCGGAATGAACGCCGGATCAGGCTGCATCGAAATCGAAATCGAGTCGGATCGGCCGCGCCAGATGCACAACAACGCCATGCCGACATCGGATCGTCGGAATATCAGAATCGAGATCGGATCCAATGGGCCCAACTCGATGTCGAATCGGACCGACCAGATCGAAACAGATCCTGCACGGCGGCTGGTTTGCCGCAGGCAGTTTGGTACATTTTACCCTCATCGCTCTCTTTGAAGATCTTCATGTTCGTCTCGTACTCCCGCTGCAAGTCCGCGGCCTCGTCGGTGTACTTCTTCCGCTCTGCCTCCTCGAGATTGCTCCAGGCCCCGGGCATCTCGGACAGCTCCATGGAGCCCTTCTTCGCGGCCACAAACAAGCTGTACGCCTGCTTCGGCTTCACAGGCATGTCCACTGGCTTCTCGGGCAGGGGGATGAACCGCATGCCGTTCTTCAGCTTCTTAATGACCTTGCCCTTGTCGGCCAAAAGACTCTTGATGGGAACCTTGATGCGCTTCGCCTCCGCAAGGTACTCCTTCCACATCGGCTTCTCCATGTATTCCTTGACCTGGGCCTGCCACTCCTTAAACTTCTCCATCCGCGAGGTGTCGTACTCTTTCTTCGTGGCCTTGTCAAGCTTCATGAACTCCACCTTTTGGTGGCGCGCGCGCAAGGGGATAGCAATATAGGGGTGGCCTTCTAAGAAGGCGGGGTATTTCTAATAAGGCCAGAACCTTCTTAGAATGGCCGGGAGGCTTCTAAGAATGCTCATTAGAGGCTATTCGGGCTTCTCATGAATCCCCTGCCTTCTGACAAGCTCGCCCGCCTAGTTGATTAGAAGGCCGCCCCCGTCACAGCGCCCCCTTGTGCGCGCCGCGAAACCTTGTATGCCCTGACCTCCTCGGCCCTCTCCTTCTTGCCTTTCGGCGCGCCGTCCGCGTCCTCCTCCGCCTTCCGCTTGTCGCCCACGAACACAGCGAAGCCCGTCTTCGGGGGGGCCGGCGGCGAGTGCCGCAGGAACTTGAGGGTCATGACTTTCATGGCCTCGTTCATGAACTCCTGAGCACCGTTCGACCGATCCCCCGTCCCCACTGGCGTGGTTGAAGGGGCCCTGCCACACACAACTAAATACACACAAATAAAAAGATTCCCCACATTTTCTGGGTTCTTGTCTTCTCCCCCAATTCCTATATTTTCCAATATTTTCTTGGGAATCGACGACTAATTGTGTCTGTGTGTTTCTTCCCCTCCTGAGTGGTCCTGGTCCCACTGGCCGACTTCGCCGCTCCAGGGAGGGACATGTGCTGTCCCCTTCGGGTTCTGCGGGGCCCATCCTCATCTGGGGGCGGGGTGGGCTGGTGGGGCTGGGGTGCCATGGCCCAGTGGGGATGGGGATCGATTTTGTACGATGCCGAACTCCGTCTGGATTTTCTTCTCGTTGCCCTTGTACTTCTTGAACTCCTCGGACTCCTTGAACGCCGCCAACTCGCTCTGGAACTTCTGCTTGGCCTCGGCCTCCTTCTTGGCGAGCTCGGCCTTCTCATCCGCCGGGGCCTCTATGAATTTCGCCTTCAAGGCGCTGCGACCCTTGCCCTCGCCCTTGCCAGCCGGCACCTCGGTTTTGTGTGCCTCCGCGAACATCGCGAACACAGACTGGGGCCTCTTCGGCAAATTGATCAGGCCGACGGTCTTGTTCTCCCTTTCCTTGGCTTTGCGGCGCTCCAAGAGGAAGTCAAGATACGTCTTCCTGGTCTTGAACTCATCCTTCTTCTTGTCGAATTCCTTCTTCATGTCCTCTACCTGCGAGGTGTATTTGGCCTTCTCTTCAGCGGGAACTTGGGCCCATTTCTCTGCGCAGATCTTGGCCATTTCGGGCATGGACTTGCCCTTCAGCTCCTCGGCAAACTGCGGCGCGTTCTCTTTCCTCCACAGAGACATCCGCCGACCCTTGCTGGGGCCGTGGGTGACAGACAGTGCGTGTGAGATCTGTGGACGTCCCCTCCCCACATTTCTCCTTCCCATGGGGTCCAACGTTTCCTGAAATAAAGGCCACCACCCAATGGCTGCACAGCGTGAGACAATGCACCACTGGACAAGCCAGGAATGCCACGCGACACTACGGCAGGAGAGCACGTGCGAAAGTAGGAAGCAGAAACACACAGGGCAGATAGCGGGCGGCAAGCAGGAAGCAAAACAGAGGACGAAACCATGGGGTCCAAATTCCGGTTTGAGGGGGATGGTGTGTGTGGGGGTCGCGAGGACGGTCTCAGCAAACATCTCCTGGGTCCTACGAGACTTGCCCAATGGCTTGCTGGACCGTGGAGGCATGTTAGACCCAAACCTTTTCCAAGCAATGCGGCCACTTCGGTGGCAACTCATGGGGGCCTCCCCTACCATCGTGTTGGCCGACAGTAATCGACGCGCATCGACGGTAATCGACTCTAAATCGACGATTGCCGACGCCAATCGACGCTAAATCGGCCTTATCTCATTGCTTACCAGGCGCTGCTCGACGCGAACCGATGCTAGCTAAAGGCGGAATTGCGACTGTGTACGCAGACCCCAACAATTGCCACCGAACGCAACTGTATGACCAACACAAGTCGCCAGTATTCCCAATCTTTGCCAATAGCCTCCGCGACGGTCGCAAATCAGCCCTACGACACCGCTAAGGCTGCAGAAATGCTCCGCGGAGGCCAACCGAAGAACAGTAGATGCTCAAACAATCTGCCCCGACCCTCCTGTGAATTGGGTCCTCGTTTTGAGTACGCATCGCCGCGCGTCTCCTCCTCTCCTCCTCCTCATCCCCCTCCTCCCTCCCCCTCCCCTCTCCTCCTCCTCTTCCTCCTTCTCCTCCTCCACCTCCTCATCCTCAGCATCCCCCTCCTCCTCCTCCTCCTCCTCTTCCTCCTCCTCCTCAGTCTCCTCCTCTGCCAATGTCCTCCTCCCCTTGCGCTACCTCCGCAAGCCCGTTTCGGTACACCCCTCACGCGCTTCGTCCCTCCATAGGGAGCTCCGCAGAGAACCGCCGTGGCAGGGTTCGCGTGGCGGTCCGCCCCACTTCGGCACACCCGTCACATGTTTCGTGGCCCCCTAGGGGGCTCCACCGAAGGCCAAGTGGCTGGGTTCACACGGTGCCCCGCCCTCGTGTCCTTGTGTTTTGGGCAATCCAAGTTTCCGTCGCAACCCGTTGGGCAAGGGTTGGCGTGTAAGCAGCAGTGTAGCATAGGCAGCGTGGTGCAGCATGGATGGGCAGATGCATTCGGCAAACAAAGATTAGCGTAGCACGTGCTGCTCTGCCGGCCTGCCCCTCCGTAGATACAAGGCTCGAGTGCGGGCGGGCGGTCTAGCGTTGAAGCCTGAGCCACTGGCACTGGAAAACCACTTCACCATTCATCCTCTTCATTCTTGTTGTCGCCCGTACTCTTGGTTCTTGTTCTTGATGTTTGGGGGTGGGAGTAATTTGAGAGAAATCTTGGGGGCAAGGGGCCCCCGAACGGGTTATGAGCCCAACGCAAGCATTGCCGAATCAGTGGTGTTGCGCGGGGAGGTCGAGGCAGCGTTGCGGCAAGAGGCACAAGCTTTGAACGTGAGGGCGGAGAGTGCGACGAACTTTCGTCCGAAATCTGGACAAGCACGGGTCATTCTTTCATCGCGGCGGAACACGGTAGGCTCATGTTAACTTTCTCTGCGTTGTCCAATCCCGAATCGGGGAGGATCACTGAGTTGGCGCAACAAGAGCAAGCCGAAAGCCAGCTCGCGACGTCAGAGAGCCTCATTGCAGAACAAGCGCGCGTGGAGTGCAGCGAGATGGCACGTCAGGTGGTGACGCTTCGTGGCGAGCGTGCCGCGGAAAAAGCTAGGCACCGTGCGATGCAAGACGCGTCGTTGGCTACTCCATTCTCTGCACCTCCGCGCAGGCCAGCTCGCGACGCAGACTTGGAAAATGCTACGCGCCGAATTGGCGCAGCACGCCATGCAATTGTAATCGGTCGCAGCAGTCACCAATTTGCTAGCAACAGAACTCGCAGAAGAAAGGGCCGTGAGCCAGCGGCTCGAAGAAACGGAGAGAGCCGCAGCTCAGCGGCTAGAACAGGCGAGGGGCAGCACAAACCACAACGAGGACGCTCACGCCATGCTTCGGCGAGCAACCGGAATACAGCTTAGGCACCAAGAGTTCGCAGCGCAACAAGAGGCCGAGCGAGCTGCTCGGGGCGCGGCGTCTGCAACGACAGTCGCGACCACTACTGCCATCAGAGGCGCAGATATGAAAGAACTCCCCAAAGTGGCGGAGGTGACTCTTGGTACCGCAGCAACAGCAGATAGGCTCACGAAAACAAGCAGCGCTGGATCACGCGATGGATCAGCACTTGTTGTTCTGCGCTGCGTCTCGGTCGTGCACCCCTTGGTCGTGCACCGCAAGAGGGATTCCATTCGACGGGTTGCCAATCGAATCAAGATTGTCGCCTCTAGTTTTGGCTGCCCTGCCAAAAGGCTTGCGAGCGCGTGCAATCAGCAACGACAGGGGCACCAGCATGACAGCGGACTACTTGCTCATGCTGCTGCTGATGAAGGCGCATCGCGGCACGCACACCGAACGCGCGGAGCTGCTAGGGTCCATCACGGATGTTCCTCAAACGCGGCCAGGCGAGAACGTGGAGGTACGCCTCGAGCAGTAGCGACGGCTGGTGTCCTATCTGGATCGTTTTGGTGTCGGGAGGAGAAAAACGTTCAACCCCAGATGCGAGTGCAACCTGGGGTGCGCCCAGTGCCCTTGCGTTGCGCCGAGGGCGCGGCGCGCTCGAACCACGCCCCCAGCCGCGTTCAGCCCACCCCGCCGCCATCATTTACAACTCGGAGATTGTGCCAAGGATCCCTGAAATACAACTTGGCGTCCCTGACCCCGTAACTCCATCCGACCATCCCTTCGTTTTCCATGCCCCCTCACCCTTCACCCCTCCTCGCCCCCTTCACCCCCCACCCTCCCGCCGCGCCCGCGACGAGGGGAGTAGACGGCGGGGCGAGGGGCTTCGGACTGGCCGGGGGGGCGGCACATGCCGCGAGTAAATTTACTCCCGCGGGGAAAACCTACATGAGCAACCCCAGGTGAACCCCTCGGAAAATTATATGTGCAACCTCAGATGAAGGTTCCACCAAACATCGAAAACAACACACGTAACATGTGCAAGCAAACATGAAGGTTTGTGGAAAAACGAAATGAGTACAACCTGGGGTGAAGGCCCCGCTGAGTAAATTTACTCCAGCGAACGCTTGCGCGGGCACCGACAGCTGATAACGCCGCAGCGCCCCAGAAAAACCAGATCACACGCTACGTCCTGATTATTTCCTGGGCGCAGCCCCGCGCGGCGGGACATCAATTTCGACCAGCCGAACCTGGCCTGGGCAGGCGCAAATCAATCCCGCGCCTCCGAAGCAACCATGCGCGGAAGGCCGCGCAAGAAAACCGCGCACAAAGCGCGTCGTGGCCGCAAGAACGCGCCGCTCGGGTCGGCGCGCAGAAACGTAACGCACACGGGAACGGCATGCGCCATTTCCAAAGGGTACACATTCACCCCAGGTTGCACTCGCAGCTGGGGTTGAACGTTTTTGGCTCTCTGATGGTATCGCGGTGCCAGACTATGGCATCATGGTGACAACTGCGAACAAAAGTGTGTCCGTCTTTGACTCGGCCCAGAAATTCGCTTGAGACCGTGCGTTGTTCGCGCACCAACACAGCGTGGATTCCATTCGGCCACGCGACACTGAGTTGTTTGATCAATACGTCGAGTACTTGATCGGCTTAGCGAGGGTGGCTGGAGGAGCTGCTCCACGCACCCGTCAACCAAGTCTGAAAGCAACGGGGTCTGAATCAGACCCGGCCTTGCTCGCTGCCAAAGGCGCCGGCAAGGCCGCCGGAAAGCCCTGCTTGTTCTTCTCGTCGGGTCGCGGTTGCGTCAATGGTGAAACGCGCCCAATGAGGCATGGGGACCCGTCGCCGTGAGGGTGTTTCAGGCGTGGCCAACTGGGCCACAAGTCAGCAGACTGTCCTGTAGTAGGGCGTAAGCCTGGCGAACAGCCAAAGCCAAAAAGCTTGCCCGCAAACAGCGGTAGCACCTCCCACAGCGCGTCGGCAAACCAGCCGCCACCGCAAGGGCAACACTCCACAGCTCAACCTTCCGAGAAGGCAAACGCACGGGAGAAGAGCGAAACGGCCAGAGCCACAAAGGCGCAAAAAGCGCAGCAAAATACGATGCAAAACTGACAGAGGCGCTGCAGCGTATCACGGGCATGCTCAAAAGGGGAGGTGCCGTCGTTGCACCCGCGGGAACACCCGAGTCGGGTGGCAACGGGGCCCCAAGCGATCGTTCCAGATTGCCTGAGAGCAGATGCGTGCCCCAATCGTGGCGGCGAGGGGTCTGCTGGCAGTGGGTCGCTGGACTTTGGACAATGGCGCTGGCGCTGTGTTCCGCCCGTAGCATCAGAACGAAACCAACCTGAAGCGGGTCCGTGTCGAGTTGGCGATGGGCAAAACTAAGCCCTCGTTCCAGGCGCCGAATGGCGACGTGATCACGTGTGGCCCTCCTTTGTACTCCACAGGCGTAGCGGTGAACGAAGCGAAGTTCAGCGTCTTGGGACCCCGCGAAGGTGGTCAAACTTGCACCGTTCAGCTCTGGACAGGAGCAGCAGGTCGCCAACATCATCTCGCAGGGGTCTGAATCCATGGGCCCGCAAGTTGTCGGAAACGCACCTCACTTGTGCGATGTGCAGGCGCAGGCGCAGACAATCGCGCGCGAGCGGGCCCAGATGGCTAAATCAGCCAACGCCCAGGAAGGGGGGGGAGGAGAAGGGGCGCAAGGAAAAGGGCAACGAACGCAGGGCGGAGGAGCGGCATCTGCGCCCAACGCGGGCGGGGAACTCTCTGGTTTAGACTTGGTGAAAGGAAGCGGGTCCGCGCAAGCAGGCGCGCGCATTCGGGGCAAAAAGAAGCCATCCGACAACGCGCCTGCCCCCAACGCGGGGGCGGAGGGCGGATCCAGCAGCAGCGCGGGGTCACCAGGCAAAGCGGGCAAGTCGCCCTTCCCGGATCCCCCTCCAGCAGGGCCTGCGCTTCAGCCCAAAGCCGTGGGCTTCGACGAGCACGACCTTTCGCCACAGTGCGACCCTACTTGCGTTCACTGCGTGGAAGTGAACAAGCACGGCGCTGGCTTCAAGCGCGGTTCATCCACGAAGCAGGAAGATGTAGGCGAGGAGGAGGTTTACTACACGATGGATTGTTGTGGGCCTTTGCCAGTTGTTTCGAATGGTGCGAAGTGGATTTTTTTTCAGCGTAGCGATGGTGCTGTGTATGTTCACACCTGGAGCACGACAAAGAATTCGGTGCATCATGGCATGCATTACAAGCGCACAGAACTGGGCGATGCCAGCAAACAGTTTGTAATCCATAGCGATCAAGGGCCGATTCTGAAATCGCCCGAAGTCCGGGAGTACTTGTTGAAGTCCGGGGGTCGGCTGCACCACTCTGCCCCTGGCAAACGCAACGCGAGCGCGTTGGCCGCATCGGCCGTCAAACTTGTGGGGGGCGGGGTTTGCGTTCAGCGCTTTTGCACCCACATGTGTTGCCGCAGTGCTGGCACCATGCTGTTCGCACGTGGTGTGTGCACAAAAACGCAAGCATCGGAGCACATCCTCGCATCAACGTTGCTGGTCGGGTAACTTCTGGTCAACTCGACCATGCCGCGCCTCCTCCAGAGGTCTTGGCAAAGAACGCACTTCGTCCGAAGGCGATCCCGGCAGCGCGCGCAGGGTGCGACGTGTCCGGAACTGGAAGCATTCGCATCCTGTTCAGAGATCCGGACACGCACGCTTTCCGTCAAGCGGTTTGTTTGCATTCAGACTTCCACCCAACGGGCCGCAATGAGTTCTCCCGTGCCGCAGACAATTGGAAGGTCACATGCGCATTTTGCGAAAGCTTGCCCCCCTTCGGACGGCGAATCTGCCGTTCCAGCGTCGGGGGGCGAGGGCCCGGAGGAATCTGGTGGAGGAGCGGGAGGAGACGAAGGGGTCAGGGGGTGGCGCAGAAGGGGAAGCAGTTGCGGAAGTTGCCAGGTCGGCGTCTCCCCAACGCCCTCCGCTTGAACATCTCGAAACGGCCGCGGTGTGCCAGAAGGCTTTTGAGGCAAACGATGATCGCGAATGCCCCGCTTGCCCCGCCAAGCCCGGCGAGGGCGGCCAGGGGCGTCGCGAGCGCGCCCTGAGGTGCGCGGTCGTGCGCCAGGCCCTGTTCGGCGGAAAGCGACTGCCGGAGGATGCGGAAGCAGAGCTCGCGAGCGCGGGCGCCCCTTATGTCGACGAAGTGCGTCGGGAGGGGAACGACCTCGAGGAATCCACGGGGGTAAAAACTTCGTGGCCTACGCCCCGCCAGAACAGGCACTGCAGTCACCTGAGCCGCCAAAGTGGCGCGAAGCGATCGGTTCAGAACTGAGGTGGGGGGTGGGGGGGTGGGGTTGGTGTGTGTGTGTGTGTGTGTGTGTGCGTGTGTGTGTGTGTGTGTGTGTGTGTGTGTGTGGGGGGGGGGGGGATGAGGGCGTGTTGGCGATGAAACCAGTTGCGGACGTCGCAAAGGATGGCGATTTGCTTCCAGCATTGCTGTTGCTTTCAATCAAGAAAGATGGGCGTTGCAAGGCGCGCCTGGTTGCATGCTGTAGCCTCCAGCGTGTTTTAAATGCTTTCACCCGCGCCACTGTAGCAGGAACCGAAGAGTGGCTCAGCCTGCTTGCCATTGGCCTCCGAATGGGGTGGTCAGCAGCTCTGTTGGATATCTCACAAGCCTTCCTTCAAACGAGCGAGGAGTTCTCCCACATCGGGAACGAGCGCACTTTCTTGAAACCACCCTTCGGCGCCGACGCACCGCCAGGGCATGTCTTCGAAGTGCTAAAAAGCATCTATGGGTTGAAAACGGCACAGTCTCTATGGCAAGCCACGTTATTGCGTTTCTCAAGCGGCACGGCTTCAAGTGTTCTCGATGCGCGGACTGCATCCTCACTGGCACCGTCGGCGAAAAGCCGGCGATTATCATCGCGTACGTAGACGATTTTGATCATTCTCGGTTACAGAAACACTGTGGAGAGCGCGATCACATTGATTCGCGCCCAATTTAGATCTAGCGCGCCTGGTTTCCTGGAGCGAACGACTCCAAATCGGAACGTGTGCTTGTTGTCAATCAGGATAATCCTCGCGCTGTGTTGGAAAAAAAAATCCGGCCGCGAAACCTGTGGCCAGCCTGAACGAGGACCACTTCAAGCAATCCCACTTGACGGCAAACACGGCCGGGAACCCTCTTCTGAACGCTGCGAACCACCACGCATTCAGGAGCAAACTGGGCTCCGTAGCGTACCTTGCGTTGCACGCCAAGCACGACGTGGCTGCCCCTGCCGCCATGTTGGCTGAGGGGCAAGCAGCCTCGCGGAAACGACACCTTGAGGTCGTGGGCGAGCTGCTCGCCTACCCCTCAACGACGGTGTCGCGGCACCTTGAACTACCAATCGCACCTCTCACAAGCCCTGTTGTCATCAAAAAGCCAAGCTGGTGCGAACCTGCTCAGCGAGCGCGAGCGGCAAGGCTTGTCCGTGTGCGTAGGTGATTCGAAATCCCTAGCAACCACATTTTGTCGTACTCAAAGGCAGACGACCGCGTCGGTGTCCACAGCAGAGTCCGAAATCAAGGGGCTCTCTTGGTCACCAAGTATTTTGATAGGATGTGGGAACCTATTCAAGGAGGTGTTAGGGAGGGTAGGAGTCCAGGTGGAAAGAGACAATTCGGCAGCGAATCTGCTCGCATGGAGGGAGACGGATGTGAGGAAGAATCGCCATGTTGACCTCGCCGATTTGTGGGTCCGGGAGGCCACTGCCCAGGGTCGAATCAGAGTGACAGATGTCGATCTCAACGGGTCAGATGTCGTCACAAAGCGCTTGTCCAGAGCTCGCGTGGCTCCAAAGCTTCCTCTTTTGCATCTGTGCGACTCCCACCAAGCCCAGATGGCCCGCCATGCCGACGAGCAGAACAAGGCCGAGGGCTTCTCTGTGATGCGCTCGTGGCTCGTGGACAACATCGAGGACATGGCCAGCAACCTGATTGCCTTCGAGAGCAAGCTGCAACGTGCAGGTCAGCATCACGAAGAGCGGGAAGTCCCTTCTCTTCTCGTATGACGCCGGCACTACGGTTACATGGTATCGTTCGCAACGTGGGAACCTCCGAATCTGGAGCCGGTGGGAGCAGAGCACGGAGTGGATGGCAACCAAATTGGACGGTTACGTGGCGGCATTCCTGCAACCTCCACCACCCAAGCCGGTGTTGTCGACGAAAAAGCGGCAGTTCGCAACGGATGCTCCGGACAGCGCGCCGCGGGCCTCGGCGGCCGTCGAAGGCGTCGTTCTTCCGCCGCCGCCGCCAGCAGAGCGCCCCCGAAAGAGGAGGCACCGCCAAAGGACCGGCGCCCTGCGCTGCAGCAAACCTGCATGTGCCATTGCAGACACCGACGTTTAGTCAATACGTGGCGTGGGTGCGTGCGATTTTGTTCGAATATGAGCCTGCCTCGGCGTGCGCGGCCGCTCACACGGTGAGAGGCTACGCAGGTCGCGAGGCCGAGCTCATCGACATGTTGGTTGTAAAGCATCTCAAAGACTAGCCGGCTGTTAGGTACAAGAGTGGCCACAACGCTGCTTACATTATAACGAAGCAGAGCTCCGTGGAGGAGCGTGTAAGCAGCAGTGTAGCATAGGCAGCGTGGTGCAGCATGGATGGGTATATACATTCAGCAAACAGGGATTCGCGTAGCACGTGCTGCTGCTATGCTGGCCTGCCCCTCGGTAGCCACAATACTCGAGGGCGGGCGGGCGGTCTAGCCTTGAAGCCTGAGCCACTGGCATTGGAAAGCCTAGAAGGCCCCAGAGCCCCCAGCTGGCCTACACGACTGTCTGAAGGCGGCTCCGCGACGGCCCAAGGCAGCTCCGACGCAGCCTCAGCACTCTTCAGAGCGGCCTCGTGACCCCCCAGATATGCCAACCATGCTTCAAGAGGCCCCCAAGATAACCCAAAAGGGCCAAAGAGAGACTCCCTCTTCTCCTCCCCTCCTCTCTCTCTCTGTTTCCCTCTCGTCCTCCTCCGCTTCCTCCCCCTCCTCCTCCTCCTCCTCCTCCTCCTCCTCCTCCTCCTTCTCGTTTTCCTCATCCTCATGCCCTCCCCTTCTACATTACCTCCTTGTCTCTTATGGGGATCAGCAGAATTGCGTAGGCCTCTAGAATCGCTGTCGGGGCCTTCTTGGGCGCCCCGTCCAGTTTCGTCCGGATGAGCTTCTTCTGTATCTGCTTGGGGTCTTGTGCTATTTTCCGTCTATGTTTATCCAGTCTTGCAGCTGCCTCGCCTAATCCGGCGAGAACAAGAATGGGCGGTCGGTGAACGCGAAGCGTCTTGAATCGCTGTCGGGGCCTTCTTGGGCGCCCCGTCCAGTTTCGTCCGGATGAGCTTCTTCTGTATCTGCTTGTTCTCCAGGATCGCCTTATCCTTGACGTACTGCTTGTACTTGTCCGACTTCTTATACTCGGCGTACTCCACGAGCCACGTCTCTCTCTGCTTGGCCCCGATCGAGTCGTACTCTCCCTTCTTGGCCTCGCTGGTCTCGGCCCACATCTCTGCGATCTTCTTGCCAATGTCGGACAGCCCGCCGCCCGCCGCCTTCACCTCCTCCGAGACCCTCGTCCGGACCTCCGCAGCAAACAGCATGTAACCGGATTTCGGTCTCGCCGGCGCCTCCTTCGCCGCCTTTTTCTTGAACTTCTTCATCTGCCGAGCATCGATCCAGTCCTGCTTGACCTCGAAGAATTTCTTGTAGTGCTCCGTCTGCTTGTACGCAGCCCACTTTGGCTTCCAGACCTCCATCTCTTTCTCGTACTCCGCAGACAGCCTGTCCTTCTCCTCCTGAGGAACCTTCTCCCACTCCTCCTTCAGAGCGATGCCCATGGCCGCCAAATCTTTGGCGACCTCTGGCCTCTCTGCCTTTATCTTCTCCCTCGCCGCCTCGGCATGCAAGAATAGGGGTCCGGGCCCCCGACCCCGCGTTCGTCGGAGCGGGCTTCTCGTCAACGGGCCCTTTGCTGAAGGCTTGAGGGCCCGGGAAGGGCCCGAGGGGCCCGAAAACTGAGGAAAACATGAGGACCCCTTGTCTTGGGAAACGAATCCGCAGACCGCCGCTGGCCGGGGGTGCAAAGGCGTGTGAGATGATTGGCTGTCCCCCTTCTCCCTTTCCCCTTCCCCTGGAGCTTCACATCGCGTTAGAGGGGGCCAGAGGGGGGGAGGGGACGAGCATCCTGGCGCACCTCTGGGGCCTCTGGAGACTGGAAATTGCCTTTCCGCGTCCTCGGGACAGCCCAAGATGCCATTGAAGCTGGCTCAAGCTCGGCACCATCACACCAGAGAGACATTGCAAGCACTAGAAATGGCATGAAGACGGCCGAAGAGGCCTCCAAGACGCCCCAACAGGGCTCCAAGAGAACCCTGGAGAGGGCCCCGAGAAGCAAACATCATCACATTCTGTTGAGGAGAATAAACACTTTCGACATGCACGCCTTCTTCGTCTTGACAGCGTCCACTACGGCCCAAGGAGCCCCCCGAACCGTCCCAAGACGACCCATGAGGCCCCGACCCCCGGAGGCCTCGAGAGGCTTCCAAGAGGCACCCAAGAAGCCTCCAAGAGGCCCCCGAGAGGCCCAACGAAGCCGATCAGATGCCCGCAGGAGCCCTCCAAGACGCCCCTGAGAGTGAAGGAGCCCTGGGACACACAAATAAGTACACACAAATAAAAAGATTCCCTTATTTCTGGGTTTCTGTCTTCCCCCCCATTTCCCATATTTTCTAATCTTTTCCTGGGAATCGACGTTTCATTGTGTCAGTGTGTTTTTTCCCCTCCTGAGAGAGGCATCCCAGGAGACCCTCACATCCATCTCCGAGGCTCCTGACCCACAGGCCAGGCACGGTGGCACGACTCCGGACGAGTGCACAGGCCACGGGGGGGGGGTCGGCGGCATGGCGCCAGCCTCTCTGCGCAGCTCCTCGCACGGCATTCACTCTCGGAGGCCCCCGCGGATTTCTCGGGCCGGGCGCTGGACGCCCCTCCCCTGGGCGCGCGGCGCAGGCGACGCCGCCGGGGGGTGTCCCGCGCCCGACTCGAGCAGCCCGCGCGGACCCCCGTGATGCTACGGCTGTGCCGTTGCCCGCTCGGCGGCGAGCCCCGGGGGGGGGGGGAGCTCTTGCGGAGGGGGCGGGGCCCCACTCGGAAGGCTCGGAGGGCCTCGGGCCCTCTGGGAGGCTCCGTGGGCCTCCTGCTGCAGGCGAGGCAGCTTCTCGGACGGCCGCCGGGCGCCTTCCGAGAAGAGTCCCGCCGCCTTCCGAGAAGGCCTGCTCCCTCGCTGGAGGCCCCCCACGGGGGGTCCGAGCAAATGGGGTCGGCGGATCGCGCCGCATCGCCGATGCATCGCCGATGCACTGGCGATGCATCATCGACGTCGGCGATGAATCGCCAAGCTCGGCGTGGAGAAATTCGGGCTCCACATCGAGACGCACCGCGATTGCATCGGCGATGCGGCGCGATCCTCCAACCCCATCTACAGTCGGGGCGTTGACCCAAGGAACCCTAAATAAGGAACGAGGCCCCCTTTTTCCATAATTGAACCTTCGATTTCCTGTCGAAAACATAAGAAAAGCCTGAGGCAAGCTGTGAAACACTTAAGGAACGCGGAGCCCCTCCCCAACGAAAAGGGTTCCTTCTTCAGGACCCCGACTGTACTCGGACCCGATGTGGGAGGCCTATACCTCTGAGAAGGTCTGCCCCCTTCTCACTCTCCTCCTCCTCCTGGCGCGCCGCCGATGTCAAGCGGCAGTTTTTCTTTCCCGGAAAGGGCTGAGGCCCAGGTTCTCTTTCAGTGGGTTTACCACCGGGTTTGCCTTGGGGTGGGCCGGCTAACTTCTTTTACGATGAATATCGAGGTCGAGGTGGGCCAGCGAATGAAAATTTGAGGATGTCCCGTGCGAAACGCTGGTTTGTCAGAATTGGTTGAGGATGCCTCGAGCGAAACGCTTGTTTTATGTCATAGATTGTCTTCTCCTGGGGACCAGAAATCAAAGGATCTCTCAAGTGAAATGCTTGTTTTCACGTGCCCAGGTCTTGAGGATGTCTCGAGCGAGACACTTGGTTTCACGCCTCCAGGTTGCTTAGGCAGAGGTCTAGCGCCAGGATTTGTTGAGGATGTCCCGAGCGAGACGCTTGGTTTCACGTGTCCTCGTCGCCCAGGCGGATGTCTAGCATGAGGATGTGTTGAGGAAGTCTCGATCGAGATGCTTGCTTGCACGTGTCCAGGTTGCCCAGGCGGATGCCCAACATGAGGATGTGTTGATAATGTCTCGATAGATACGCTTGTTGTCACGTGTCCAGCTCGCCCAGGCGGATATCTAACATGAAAATGTGTTGAGGATGTATCGAGCGAGACGTTTGCTGTCACGTGTGCAGGTCGCCCAGGCGGATGTCTAGAATGAGGAGGTGTTGAACACGTCTCGAGCGAGCTTGTTTTCACGTGCCCAGGTCACCCAGGCGGACGTCTCCCATGCAAATGTATTGAGGATGTCTCGAGCGAACCACTTGTTTTCACGTGTCCAGTTCGCCCAGCCGGATGTCTAGCATGAGAATGTGTTGAGGATGTCTCGAGGATGTGTTGAGCCCGACGCTTGTTTTCATGTCAGGCGGATGTCTAGCATGAGGATTTGGCGGGATGTCTCGAGCGAAACGCTTGTCCCAAGCACGTTCCGTAGCGCGTCCCCTTGGCACGTCCCGCGGTACGTCCCATGGCACGTCCCCTGGCACGTCGCTTGGCGCGTCCCTTGGGACGTTCCGCGGCGCGTCCTCCTGGCATGTCCCCTTGTCAATTAGCTCTGAGGCAGCTACTATGTTCGCAGGCAGCTCGAGCTTAAGATCCAGATCAGTTCGGTCACGACTCGAATGCAAAGGAGGACTCGATCCACAACGCTATAGAGCACAATCGCGGCATGGCACATCGCAATTCAGCACGGCGCAGCACAGCACAGCCCTCGGAACGGTACATCAAGATCGAAACACTCAACATTGCAACCTGGCATGTTTCTTGGCACGTTCCGTGGCGCGTCCCGTGGCGAGTCCCCCTGGCACGTCACGCGGCGCGTCCCCTGTCACGTCCCGTGGCATTTCCTTTGGCACGTTCCGTAGCGCGTCCCCTTGGCACGTCCCGCGGTACGTCCCCATGGCACGTCCCCTGGCACGTCGCTTGGCGCGTCCCTTGGGACGTTCCGCGGCGCGTCCTCCTGGCATGTCCCCCTGTCAATTGGCTCTGGGGCAGCTACTATGTTCTCATGCAGCTCGAGCTTAAGATCCAGATCAGTTCGGTCACGACTCGGATGCAAAGGAGGACTCGATCCACAACGCTATAGGGCACAATCTCGGCATGACACATCGCAATTTAGCACGGCGCAGCACAGCACAGCCCTCGGCAGGGTACAGCAGTATCGATAAACTCAGCATTACATTTGCCCGTCGCCCAATCAAGTGTCTTTGAAAACGTTGCCATGCGTTGCATGGCTATATTCCTTTCCGGGTTCGTGGGTCGATCATGTATTGGACCTGGGGCGATGGGGGCAACGCCAATGGTGGGGCGGTTGGAGCTGCAATGGTTCGCTTGCTTGCGCGATTGTGCGAACTGGTTCCGGGGGTGGTGGGGCACGACCCATTGCGAGGGGCGCGAACTTTTACGTTGGACTGAATGTATGATTGCATCCACGCGCAACTGCTGCGCCCAGACGGCAAACGACTGCATGTGTGCAAGAGACTGCCAAACTGCCGCAAATACTGTTGCACCCACTCTGGCGAACCCATCCGTGCTCAAGACGAAGACAGGACGAGGATCAAGTCGGGCGAGGATAAATCGAGAACCTCTGAGATCTGGCGGCTCCCCGGAGCGTCCATGGCTCCCAGGCGGAAGGTCGGGCCCGTGTTCGAACCAGAGGAGGAGGAGGAGGAGGAGGAGGAGGAGGAGGAGGAGGCGGAGGAGGAGGAGGAGGAAAAGGAGGAGGAGAAAGAGGAGGAGCGCTCTGGAACGCCCGGGAACGGACTTTTGTGATTCCACGTCTTCCCCGCGGCGAGCCACCGCGGAGCACTTCTGGTAGGCGTTCTTCGGCTTCGGCGGGGCGTGCGGGTCCTTAGTCGGGGATGGACAGACCTCCCTGTAGTAAAACGTGGTTTAGTGAAAACTACCTGAGGCCCAAACCTGGCGGGCACAGGCCTGGGAAATGACGGCCAGGGCGCCCTCTCGAGAACCCAGAACGGACGATTCACGAATCGACGTGTCACTGTGGGGGGTTCTGTCCACCCCCGAGTTTCAGGTAGAAGAGATGGCGACGGTGGCGACGACGATGCGCGCAGTCGGTGTAAGGGGATCCGATGACCAGAGCAAAATGCCACAGATGAGTCATGAACACAGGGTCGTGATGATCATCAGACCCATGACCCCTCGAGACGCGGATAACAATGAAGGATCGCCGCATGGTCGATCACGAAGTACCATGGCGTGCGGGTCCTTGGGCTTGCCGCGGGGCGGCTTCTCGCCTGGCGCGGGCGCGCCCGCGGCCGCCGGGGCGGCCTCCGCGGGCGGCGCCTCCTCGGCTGGCGGGGCCTCCTCGGGGGCGGCCCGGCGCGGGTGGGGCCTCCCGCCGAAAGCGCGGAGAGCGGTGGGCAAGCGCGCAGGTGGCGACCCCCGAAGCTCACCCCCACCTCCTCCTCCTCCTCCTCCTCCTGCTCCTGCTCCTCCTCCTCCTCCTCCTCACTGCTCCTCCTCCTCCTCCTCTCTCCTCCTCCTCCTCCTCCTCCTCCTCTCCTCCTCCTCCTCCTCCTCCTCCTCCTCCTCCTCCCTCCTCCTCCTCCCTCCTCCTCCTCCTCCTCCTCCTCCTCCTCCTCCTCCTCCTTCCGCCTCCTCCTCCTCCTCCTCCTCCTCCTCCTCCTCCTCCTCCTCCTCCTCCTCCTCCTCACCACCATCCGTGGATGGTCCTGCTGCGTCGATGGGAACGGGGCGGGGGGTCGGGCCCGGGTTTCGCCACGTGCTCGAGGGGAGCCCCAGATTTTGCCCCGGGTCACCCATCGAACTGCCTGAATGGTTGATCGGCGAGGGTAGGACGCGGATTTCACCGCCGACAGTCACGCATCGGCGGCGCGACCAGGGGGAAGTGAGGGGGGGCAAGCCTTCACAGGAAGCGGCGGGACGTCTCAGGAGCCTTCTGGTCTTCAGAGACGCCGTTTCTGTTTTCGGAGAAAGCTCACAAACTTCTCAGAAGGCCGGAGGCCTTCCGAGCGTTCTGGAAGGCCCGCCCCCTCTGGCTTCCCCCCTGGGCTCGCCGCTGAACACAGGCCGTTCGGAAGAGGCTGGTATAAGCCTGACGCAGAAGGCGGTCCAAGCAGCCACAGTGGGCATCGGCCTGCTCGAGTAACAGGCGGGCGGTCGAAAGCATGAGGAATACCGTCAGCTTTTGGAATCGGAAGGAGCTGGAAATCTCCCCAACAAAAACTGTACCTGCAACGACTGTTATCTGCAAGCGAAAGCCAAGCCCATACGGTGAATTTCTGCCTTCTGCAGCATTGTGGTTGGACCACTTGACTTGAGGCTCCCATGGGATGGGCGAAATGCATGAGGGGCGGGCCAATGTGAGTCCACTGGCACTTTCTTTGTGAGTGCCTTCCTAAGGGGCGGTGCTTGGGTCTGTGCACTTGGGCGTTAGACATGCGCGAACTGCTCTCCGCTTGAAGGTTCACGGGTAGGCTACGAACCCTTCCGATCAGACGTCAGTCGGCTCCCAAAAGGGAACACAAGGATCCGCGTGGTGCCTTCTTTAAAGAACGGGAACTTGCCATCGCTCGGACGTCCATTTCCCGTGCGTGTTTCGGTTTCGTGCGTGTATTTTTTTCCCAACCAACCTGTGTTGTTGGGTCCTCGTTTTGAAGAGACGGTCCCCGCGTTCCTTCCTCCTTCCTCCTTCCTCCTCCCTCCTCCTCCCCCCTCCTCCTCCTCCCCCCTCCTCCCCCTCCTCATTCTGGCACACCCCTCACACGCTTCGTGGCCCCATAGGGAGCTCCACCGAAGGCCCCAGTGGCTGCGCCCGCATGCGGTTCCACCCCCCATTCTGGCACACCCCTCACACGTTTCGTGGCCCCATAGGGAGCTCCACCGAAGGCCCCAGTGGCTGCGCCCGCATGCGGTTCCACCCCCCATTCTGGCACACCCCTCACACGTTTCGTGGCCCCATAGGGAGCTCCACCGAAGGCCCCAGTGGCTGCGCCCGCATGCGGTTCCACCCCCCATTCTGGCACACCCCTCACACGTTTCGTGGCCCCATAGGGAGCTCCACCGAAGGCCCCAGTGGCTGCGCCCGCATGCGGTTCCACCCCCCATTCTGGCACACCCCTCACACGTTTCGTGGCCCCATAGGGAGCTCCACCGAAGGCCCCAGTGGCTGCGCCCGCATGCGGTTCCACCCCCCATTCTGGCACACCCCTCACACGTTTCGTGGCCCCATAGGGAGCTCCACCGAAGGCCCCAGTGGCTGCGCCCGCATGCGGTTCCACCCCCCATTCTGGCACACCCCTCACACGTTTCGTGGCCCCATAGGGAGCTCCACCGAAGGCCCCAGTGGCTGCGCCCGCATGCGGTTCCACCCCCCATTCTGGCACACCCCTCACACGTTTCGTGGCCCCATAGGGAGCTCCACCGAAGGCCCCAGTGGCTGCGCCCGCATGCGGTTCCACCCCCCATTCTGGCACACCCCTCACACGTTTCGTGGCCCCCATAGAGCACCACCGCAAGGCCCCATTCTGGCACACCCCTCACATGCGGTTCCACCCCCCATTTCGTGGCCCCATAGGGAGCTCCACCGAAGGCCCCAGTGGCTGCGCCCGCATGCGGTTCCACCCCCCATTCTGGCACACCCCTCACACGTTTCGTGGCCCCATAGGGAGCTCCACCGAAGGCCCCAGTGGCTGCGCCCGCATGCGGTTCCACCCCCATTCTGGCACACCCCTCACACGTTTCGTGGCCCCATAGGGAGCTCCACCGAAGGCCCCAGTGGCTGCGCCCGCATGCGGTTCCACCCCCCATTCTGGCACACCCCTCACACGTTTCGTGGCCCCATAGGGAGCTCCACCGAAGGCCCCAGTGGCTGCGCCCGCATGCGGTTCCACCCCCCATTCTGGCACACCCCTCACACGTTTCGTGGCCCCATAGGGAGCTCCACCGAAGGCCCCAGTGGCTGCGCCCGCATGCGGTTCCACCCCCCATTCTGGCACACCCCTCACACGTTTCGTGGCCCCATAGGGAGCTCCACCGAAGGCCCCAGTGGCTGCGCCCGCATGCGGTTCCACCCTCCATTCTGGCACACCCCTCACACGTTTCGTGGCCCCATAGGGAGCTCCACCGAAGGCCCCAGTGGCTGCGCCCGCATGCGGTTCCACCCCCCATTCTGGCACACCCCTCACACGTTTCGTGGCCCCATAGGGAGCTCCACCGAAGGCCCCAGTGGCTGCGCCCGCATGCGGTTCCACCCCCCATTCTGGCACACCCCTCACACGTTTCGTGGCTCCATAGGGAGCTCCACCGAGCGCCCCAGTGGCTGCGCTCGCATGCGGTTCCACCCCCCCATTTCGGCACACCCCTCACTCGTTTCGTGGTCCGGGGGCGCCACCGAAGAATATATCCACAATTGCGGTATTCACAACTACGTATGGTTGGTCTTTCGTCTGGCTTTTTTTTTTTTTTTTTTTTTTTTTTTTTGTTTTTTGCTTTTTTGCTCGATGGTCCAGGATGCTCCTCGATCGTCCTCGCCGAGAAAAAAATGCACACGTCCGAGCCATGCCAAGGGAAACGGTACAGCAGAAACTGTTCCGCTGTCGGGGATGCCTGCCCCATGCAAGCAAGCAAGCAAGAAGGCCATGTATCCTGAAGGACGCGTGGGCAGGCAAAGACACTCATGGTTCCTGCCGTGATTCGCTGCGACAGACAATCAGCGCCAGCGCGGATTGGACTAAACAGCCCGAGAGGAGGAGGAGGAGGAGGAGGAGGAGGAGGAGGAGGAGGAGGAGGAGAAGGAGGAGGAGCAGGAGAAGCAGCAGGAGGAGCAGGAGCAGCAGGAGGAGGAGGAGGAGGAGGAGGGGGAAGGGGGGGGCCTGCCCCATGGCGATCGGGAAATTCATACCCCTGCGGTCTCTGCGGTGAGACGTCCGGGCAGAGAATCTCCAGCCGCCCTGGGGCAGGCGTCCCCGACGGCAACACAATCTATGGGATACCGCGTTCGCCCGCTATCGTGAGAGCAGTGCCGGTTTGGATTTCGTCGGAGTCCCCTGGGAAGGTTTGTCAGAGAGTTGCGAGCGGAATTGGCCAAATAGAGAGTGGACCAGGCCACGCAAGGGGTATCTAACATGGTTGTCCCGAGCTGGAACCACCGGTTTTTGACATGTCCAGGACACCCAGGGGGATATCTAACATGGTTGTCCCGACCTGGAACCACGTGTTTTTACCTGTCCAGGCTACCCAGGGGGTATCTCACATTGTTGTGCCGAGCCGGCACCACGTGTTTTTACGTGTGTAGGCCACGCAAAGGGGTACTAACATGGTGGTCCCGAGCGAAGGCCACGTGTTTTAACGTGTTCAGGCCGCTCAGGGGTGCATCTCTAACATGGTTGTCCTGAGCTGGCATCCACGTTTTTACGTGTCCAGACCACCCAAGGGAATCTCTAACATGGTTGCCCCGAGCAAGGACCACGTTTTCTTACGTGTCTAGGCCGCCCAAGTGTGTATCTAACATGTTTGCCCAGAGCTGGATCCACGAGTTTTTACACGTCCAGGCCGCCCAAAGGGGGTATCTAACATGGTTGTCCCGAGCTGGAACCACGTGGTTTTACGTGTCCAGGCCACCCAGGGGGTATCTAACATTTTTGTCCCGGACTGGTACCGCGTGCTTTCACGTGTCCATGCCACCCAGGGTGGTACCTAACATGATTGTCCCGAGCTTGAAGCAAGTGTTTTTAAGTGTCCAGGCCACCCAGAAGGGGTATCTAACATGGATGTCCCGAGCTTGACACACTTGTTTTAGCGTGTCCAGGCCACCCAGGGGGTATCTAACATGGTTGTCCCGAGCTGGCACCCACCTTTTTACGTGTCCAGGCCACCTAGGGGGGATCTAATATGATTGTCCCGAATTGGAACCGCGTGTTTTACGTGTCCAGGCCGCCCAGGAGGTACTTCACATGGCGGAGCCAAGTGCTTTAACGTGTCCAGGCCACGTAAGGGGTATCTAACATGGGCCTCCTGGGGCCTTCCTGGGGGCCTGGAACAGACGTCTAACATGAAGATGTGCTGAGGACGTCTCGAGGGAACCACTAGTTTTCACGTGTCCAGTTCGCCCAGGCGGATGTCTAGCATGAGGTGGCACGTCCGTTGGCACGTTCCGTAGCGCGTCCCCTTGGCACGTCCCGCGGTGCGTCCCCGTGGCACGTCCCCTGGCACGTCGCCTGGCGCGTCCCTTGGGACGTCCGCGGCGCGTCCTCCTGGCATGTCCCCTTGTCAGTTAGCTCTGGGGCAGCTACTATGTGCTGAGGCAGCTCGAGCTTAAGATCCAAGTCAGTTCGGTCAGGACTCGGATGCAAAGGAAGACTCGATCCACAACGCTGTAGAGCACAATCGCGGCATGGCACATCGCAGTTCAGCACGGCGCAGCACAGCACAGCCCTCGGCACGGTACATCAATATCGATACACTCAGCATTGCAACCAAGCCCGTTCCTTGGGACGTTCCGTGGCGCGTCCCGTGGCGAGTCCCCGTGGCACGTCGCGCGGCGCGTCCCCCGGCACGTCCATTGGCACGTCCGTTGGCACGTTCCGTAGCGCGTCCCCTTGGCACGTCCCGCGGTGCGTCCCCGTGGCACGTCCCCTGGCACGTCGCCTGGCGCGTCCCTTGGGACGTTCCGCGGCGCGTCCTCCTGGCATGTTCCCCTGTCAATCAGCTCTGGGGCAGCTACTATGTGCTGAGGCAGCTCGAGCTTAAGATCCAGATCAGTTCGGTCAGGACTCGGATGCAAAGGAGGACTCGATCCACAACGCATAGAGCACACTCGCGGCATGGCACATCGCAGTTCAGCACGGCGCAGCACAGCACAGCCCTCGGCACGGTACATCAAGATCGATACACTCAGCATTGCGTTTGCCCGTCGCCCAATCAGGTGTCTTTGAAACGTTGCCATGCCGTACATTTCCACATTCCTTTCCGGCTTCGAGGGTCGATCGAGTTCTTCTCCCGTGGGGTGCTGCAGGCGCTGGGACCGACACCGGACACGGGAAAGGGATACGGGCGGAAAGGGACGGTTTGGTCGGCCCACCGCTGTTTGGCAGACAGAGGCCTGGCCTCCCAGGGCAGCTGGGAACCCCGTGCGCCCGCGGCGGCCGAAGCCTTCCACTTCTCCGCCGATCCTCGGCCGGCAGCGTCTCGGCGTCCTCCGCCATGGGCGAGCCAGCGCGCGCCGCCGAGCTGCGGAGCCTCCAGGCCTCTCGGCTCACCGCCTCCACCCCTTCTGGGCGTCACCCCCTTGAGCCGGGAAGGCTACGGGGCCCACTGGCTGCGATGACTGACGACGACCATATGCTGAATCCACAGCAGGCGAGATGCCCCCTCCGAGCGCATCGCGCACAGTCTCCCGCCACTCACAACCTGCCTGGCCTCCAGGCGCCCAGACATGACCCGCCACCTGTCGCACCCCATGGAGTCATCACCACCCGCGCATCTATCGCATCTCGGCGCTGCGACCCAGCTGCTGACTCTGACCAGCCGCCACCAGCCGGCCACCGCTGGAGGCCTTCCTGTGCGCTCCAGGAGAAAGCGCCGACGTCGAACCGCTAGCCCATGGGAGGGCGAGCGCGTACCCTCAGAATTCAAACATGTGTTCGATGGTTGCCCGACTCTCCCACGCCACCAAACAAGGCCACACCAACATGCGTGGCACAACGGCACGGATGACGTCTGCATTCGTAGCCCCGATGAACGAATAATTACCCTGGCGACGTACCCAACACTTGCGCAATGCGGGCCATAAGTACATCAGGATTGCTACAACGGGGGCGATGACGTAACGTTGACGCATGTGATTTTGCGAGCAGCAATCGGAAGGCTCGCAGGCCCCCGATCAAGATATAAGGGCTACGTAAGAACAAATCACCCCCGTTGGCTGTGCCATGCGCCCGTTGCACCCAACGTATCCCACAGCAGCTCTTGAGAGCCTCCGCAGGATACGTAGGCGCAACGTTCTGGCCATCACCCGGCAGATGGTCTGCTTCGCAAATCACCCCCGTTGACTGTGCCATGCGCCCATTGCGCCTAACGTATCCCGCAGCAACTCTCCAGAACCCCCCAGGGACGGCGAGGTCTCGCTCAGGTCCCCGCGGTGCCTCACTCCTCAGGACCCACCAGCAGCCCTCGAAAGTGGCGACAATGTCGCTGATCGCAGCCCCCCCAGGGACGGCGAGGTCTTGCTCAGGTCCCCGCGGTGCCTCAGTCCGCTGGACCCAGCAGCAGCCGTCGAAAGTGGCGACAATGTCGCAGATCGCAGCCCCCCCCAGGGACGGCGAGGTCTCGCTCAGGTCCCCGCGGTGCCTCAGTCCGCTGGACCCAGCAACAGCCCTCGAAAGTGGCGACAATGTCGCAGATCGCAGCCTCCCAGGGACGGCGAGGTCTCGCTCAGGCCCCCGCGGTGCCTCAATCCGCTGGACCCAGGAGCAGCCGTCGAACATGGCGACAGTGTCGCAGATCGCAGCCCCCCCAGGGACGGCGAGGTCTCGCTCGGGTCCCCGCGGTGCCTCGCTCCGCTGGACCCACCAGCAACCCTCGAAAGTGGCGACAGTGTCGCAGATCGCAGCCCCCCTGGGAAAGCGAGGTTTCGCTCAGGTCACCGAGGTGCCTCACTCCGAAGGACCGACCAGCAGCCATCGAACGTGGCGACAGTGTCGCAGATCGCAGCCCCCCAAGGACGGCGAAGTCTCCCTCAGGTCCCGCGGTGCCTGCCTCACTCCGCTGGACCCACCAGCAACCCTCGAAAGTGGCGACAATGTCGCAGATCGCAGCCCCCCCCAAAGACGGGCAGGTCTCGCTCAGGCCCCCGCGGTGCCTCGCTCCTCAGGACCCACCAGCAGCCCTCGAACGTGGCGACAGTGTCGCAGATCGCAGCCCCCCCCCCCCAGGGACGGCGAGGTCTCGCTCAGGTCCCCGCGGTGCCTCAGTCCGCTGGACCCAACAGCAGCCCTCGAAAGTGGCGGCAGTGTCGCAGATCTCAGCCCCCCAGGGACGGCGAGGTCTCGCTCAGGTCCCCGCGGTGCCTCACTCCGCAGGACCCAGCAGCAGCCCTCAAAAGTGGCGACAGCGTCACAGATCGCAACTCCTTGGCAAGATGTACACGCAAGAGGTACCGCAGCCAGGATGCACACCCACACACACACACGAGGTACGCGCAAGGCAAGAGGAGACAACACGGAAGCGGGAGACGGGAGGCGGGAGGAGACGGAGGAGGAAGAGGAGGATGAGGAGGACTGGAGACCGCAGTGCTCTATTCAAAACGAATGCCCAACCAAGGATTGTTGGGAACACCCCATTCCGATCCTCTAACACCCGATCCCATAACGAAGAATTCCGCGGACGCTTTTTGCCAAGGGTCATCCTTAACACCTACCCGGGAAACTAGTTGTAAGTTCCACCCTGTGGGACGTAGTGCAATCATGGGAAACGGTAGGGAAGACACACAATTCCCCGAATACGTCTAGAGAGCCCCCTGGGAACACCACATGTCAGGAACGCAGACTGGCTCCTGAAGAAACCCTAGGACACATCCAAGCATCATCTAGGACACTTGGGGAGTTCGCCGTCACTGACGATCCGTTTCCCGCCCTGTTCCTCGAATCTACATGGTTCGTATTCGTATACTCGCTTCCAGCTTGCAAGCATGGCGCCCCACGGAAGGATAACGCCCCCGACACACTCCCCCCCCCCGCCTGACGATATCCGTACATCGAAATCACATAATTCGGACATCCCCCCAACAAAAACAATGAAGGAGCGCACAAGGGTAGAGAGGTGAACTATCATGCCACAGTATAAGATACCTAAACAGAACATTCGCCGAAGGTCAGAGGGGACAGAACATGTTCTGAGCCACGCGAGAAGAGCAGGCGACTCACCCCACTTGAGCCAAACGTGGCACAACATACATACACTGACTGGCACATGCACATATCATACATACGATGTCTACGGAATTGGCGCGGAGCATTTGATACCGCAAGAATGCGAAAGCCCCTGGGGATCGAACGGCCAGAGGACGAGTCCCAATTCCAACAACAGGAACACACGTAGCTCACGTCGGAGCAGAACGTGTTCGTAAGGGCAACGACGTGATGACCGAATGCCCAATCAAGGCGCACAAAGAGCATAGGCTAACACACGTGACCATTATATGAGTGCGTCCAACGTGCAACATAACCACGCACAGATGGAAGCCCGAATGAAAGCCACAAGAGCGTGGAAACACTCTGAGGACACACTGACCGGACACCAATGAACATCACTAGGCAACGAAGCAAATCCGCCACCGTGCCCCGAGGTCCCCTGGCTGGCCTGCAAGCCCCGCCCGAGCACCGCCACGTTGCGGAGTCGTCGACGCAAGTGGAGCGCACCTTCGCGTGTCTGCTCGCCAGGGCATCCGCCGCCCCAGTGACTCCTCCGCATTCCTCCGCCTTCCCCTCTCACTCAACCTTTCCACCCTCCCCTGCTCCTCTATCGCTGCTCCTGATTCGTACCCCCCCCTCGACCAGCCGCCGCCCTGGAACCATGCCGACAGCCCCCATTCCGCAAATCCCTGTTAACAAGCAAAACACAGTGCACCACTTTGCGGCAGCATCTGCACCATATTCGGGTGCCTGCCCCGCGGTCACTTTGCGTGGTTGCTTGAAAGGGACAAGGGGGGGGGGGCTGGCAGATTGCCCCACATGTGCGGCCCATCGTCCCTATCAGCGACAATTTCAAAACGCACGTTGCGGCACCATCTTGGACCACGCGCGGGCGCTCCGCGATCATCTTGCACCTAAGCAGAGACGACGGGGGTGCACTGGCCACTGGCGCGCGCGGCTCACCTCGCGGGTATCGCGCACATGATTGGCGTCTGCATTATTTCCCGATGGTCATCGATGGCGGCCCATGCTCATACCCTGGGCGGGAGTGAGCGAGACGGCCATGCTTCGGCAGAGGTAGCTTGGACCTCCCCTCTGCCATCCCTCCCCCCCCTTCCCTCCCGCCCCCCCATCTAACCTCCCCCTCCCCCCCTCTACTACAGCTAACTGTGAATACGACTCCCCGCCCTCCCGACATCATGTGCAGTAGTGACGTCGCATCTCTCACATTTGCTTCCGCACGCACGCGCACAGGAGCCTACTACTTAATCCTTCAAGTAGTTGATTCAGTCGGAGCGCTCTGTCCTTCGAGAGTGGTCTTCCCACTGCAGAATGGACGACATTTCAGAATCTTGAGCAGGGACCGACCGTCCCGGCATTCCTATAGTCATACCACGAAATGTTTCGTAGAACCCACAAATGTTCTAAGAACACAAGCAAGGTTCTTAGAGCATAAGCCCGATGCGTGAAAACAAGACAGACTCCGCCGGAAAGGTTCTAAGAACATTTCGTGGAAACCACAGAAGGTTCTTAGAACATTGTTTGGTGGGGCTATAGGCGAGCCAGGACGCTTCGCCACTGCTTGAGAATCGGCGCGTTGCTCCCGTCATGTAGACTGGCGCAAGCGCCCCGGCGTGAGCCAAGCTTTTGGATCCGATGGCTTCCTCGCCACTGCCGCCGCCTCCATTTTTCCCCTCCTCCGCCTACCCTTGGCACTCCTGCTCCTCCCGCGACTCCTGCTACTAATTTTTCTCCTCCTGCTCCTCCTCCTCCTCCTGCTTCCTCCTCCTGCTTCCGCATCCTCCTCCTGTCCCCCTTTGCCCTCCTCCTCCTCCTCCTCCTCCTCCTGCTCGTCCGCCTCCGCTTCCGCCTCCTCTCCTCCTCCGTAGATGCTTGTATGCACAACAGCCTCTCTGGGCAGATTGCGCACCACACGACAGGGTAATTCGGGGGATCAGGACACCTCAGTCGGCAGACAGACAACGATACATCGCAATGGGAAGGGATGGGCGGGAGCGGTAGGATCTCGGATACGGTGCGCATACACCTTGCTTGCCCTCCCACCTCTCTCCCATCTCCTCCGCGTCCCTGTCCCCCCCCGCCTCGTCTTGACCTGGATGTTCTGACCACTCGATACGCTTGGGGCTTCTCAAGAGGAGGACCAACGGCAGCTGCAATCCACCACCGTGACCCATGGCACGCAGAGGTGTAGCAGAATGCCAGGTGCTGATTGGCGGGGTTTCTATATTCTTCTAAGGGTCCCCCTCCCTCGATGCGTCCAGCTGCGTGCATCGCACCCCTCCCCCACGAAGCCACGATCCATCGTACAACAACGATCGATCCGCGCCCGGAGGCCACGACACCTCGTAGAACAGTATCCTGTCGAAGGACCCACCCATATGCAATTATGAATGCCGCCCTTGCGAATATCGCCTTCAACAGAGCTCCCCGTGGATGCACGAAACGTGTGAAGGGTGTGCCGAAGTTGGCCCGGGGGAGCACCTGGGCCCTGCAACTGTGGCATTCGGTGGGATCCCCGACGGGGGCCACGGAGAGTGTGAGGGATGTGCCGAAATCTGCAGGGGGAGGGGCATGCGGGGCGCCGCCACCGGGGCCTTCGGCGGAACCTCCTATGAGGCCACGAGACGCGTGCGGGGCGTGTGCGAAACGTTGGCCCGGGGACGCATGCGAGCTGTGCCACCGGGGCCTTCGGTGGAGCTGCCTGTGGAGCCACAAAGCTTTTGAAGGGGTGTGACGACATGGGCCTGCGGGCGCATGCGGGATGGGGCAACGACACACGAGAGGGGTGTACCGAAATCTGCGTGCATGTGGGCGCTGCCACTGGGGCCTTCGGTGGAATCCCTTATGAAGCCACGAGACGTGTGAAGGGTGTGTGCAAAACGTTGGTCTGGGGACGCATGCGAGCTGTGCCACTGGGGCCTTCGGTGCATCTCCAATTAGGGCCACAGAGCGTTTAAGGGGTGTGCCAAACTGGGCCTGAGGACGCGTGCGAGATGTGCCACTGGGGCCTTCAGGGGAGCTTCCTCTGGGGCCACGAGGCTTGTAAGGGGTGTGCCGAAATTGGCTGGGGGGCCCAATGCGATCACCCCACAGGGGGCTTCAGTGGGGCTCCCTAACGGGGCCACGAAAACGTGTGAGGGGTGTGCCGAAACTGGCTAGGAGACCGCATGCGACCCGACTCCCTGTAGGGCATCGATGGGGCCCCCAATGGGGCAGCGAAATGCGTAAAGCGTGTGCCAACATGGGCGTGGGGGGCGCGTGCGGACCCTTCCCCCCTTGTGTACTTCGGTGGAGCTCCTGACGGGAACACGAACCATGTGATGGGGGATGCCCAAATGGAGACGACTACCGCGCATTTAGCTCCATCTGGGGCTGCCTCGGGCCAGGGATGCTGGCGATGATGATGATGATGATGATGATGATGATGATGATGATGATGATGATGATGATGATGATGATGATGAACATGATTATGATGCTGCTGCTGCTGCTGATGATGATGATGATGATACCGCTGACGATGCTGCACATGAAGATGATGATACTGATGATGATGCTGATGCTGATGCTACTAATTGTGGTGATGATGATGAGGATGCTAATGCGGTTGACGCTGGTTGTGGCTGTGATAATAATGATGCTGAATGTGATGACGCAGACGATTATGCTGATTCTGCTGATGTGTATGATGATGACCTGATGGCAATGACGAAGCCCATGGCGATGATGATCACGTCGAAGGCGAAGATGCAGATGCAGGTCCAGACGACGATGGGTAATCATAATAAATAGGTGACGGCGGTGATGATACGGCTGCTGATGGTGGTGCTGGTGCTGATGATGCTGCCAACGATGATAAAGCTGATGATGATAACGATGGTGATGATGCTGCTAATGCTGATGATGTCGATGCTGATGCTGATGATGATGATGATGCTGCTGCTGGTGATTATGCTGCTGATGCTGACGATGACGAAAACAACGATGATGCTGATGAGTATGATGACGATGACGACGGTGACGATGATGATTAGTATGTTTGTGATGATGACGACGCTGGCGATGACACAGGCGACGACGGCAACGACGATGACAGTGATGATGATATCTCATGGTGTGATGATGATGACGGGGCTATGTTGTTGATGATGGTGCAGGTAACGATGGTGATGGTGCTGATGATGAATCTGGAGATGACTATGCTGCTGCTGCGTTTGATGATGATGATGCTGATGATGCTGATGATGCTGATGAAACCGATGCCGATACCGATGGCGATAATGGTGATGATGAGTGTGATGATGATGATGATGCTGATGATGATGATGATGATGGTGGTGATGATGATGATGATGATGATGATGATGATGATGATGGTGGTGATGATGATGATGATGATGATGATGATGATGATGATAACGATGCTGATTATTGTGATGATGGTGATGATGATGCTGTTGTTGGTGAGGATGACGATGCGGATGTTGGGGATGACGATGCCGATGCCGACGATTATGATGATGATGATGCTGCTGCTCATGGTGATGATGATGACACTCGGAAGGCAGATGGAGCGATAGGAGAGAGGAGGGGGCAGCGGGAGGTAGAAGGCGCGGGAGGACGAGAGGGGCAGTGGGAGGAAGGAAGGAATGAATGCACGCTTGGCGCTGTCTCTTAAGACTGTGTTCCCCAACCAGTGGCTCAGGCAATCAACCAAGGCCGCCAAAAAGGCCCAAGATGTCTCCAAGACACGGCTGAAGATCGCCCCAAAGCGTCCCGTGATTGGCTCAAGACGGTCCAAGATGCCTCCAAGCGAGCCAAAGAGGGGCACAGGAGGGTCCCCAAGGTCCGAAGACGCCCAAGTCATTGATGGCCCTTAGATGTTTGGCTGATTTTCGCATTCTCGCCTTTTCGGAGTTTTGTCAGCTCAAGACGGCCCAAGGGGCCTCGGCCCCAAAGGGAGGGGCCCAGAAGGCCTCATCATGGCTCAGGAGGCACCCAAGACGGCCCCAGAGGGCCTTGAGGGAGACCCACAACTGCCTTACAGGGCCCTCCGACGGCCCAAGACGGCGCCGAGACGGCCCCACGACGGCCCCAAAGCACCAGCCCATATGGCCAAGGGGGCCCCACGATGGCCCAAGAGAGCACCAAGACGGCCCAAGAAAGCCCCAAGACGGCCCAAGAGGACCAGAAGGCGGCCCTAAGGACCCCCAAGACTGCCCGACAGTAGTCCAAGACAGTCCCAAGACGGCCCAAATGACCGACAACTTTCCTGTTGTTCTTCCTCCTCCGTTTGCTCCTCCTCCTCCTCCTCCTCCTGGCTATCCTCCTCCGGCCTGCCGTGCTCGTGCTCCTGCAAACAGTCGCCACCCAGAATGCTGGACTGGCACCTTGGCGAGACTTGCCGCAGGTAGCTAGATATCACTTTGAAGTGGATGTGGCCAGGGACCAGACTCGGCGGCAAGGCCGGGGTGGAAGTCAGAGGG